GAGAGAACGACTCATAGAGAGAGAGAGGACGACTCATAGAGAGAGAGAACGACTCAGAGAGAGAGAGGACGACTCAGAGAGAGAGAGAACGACTCAGAGAGAAAGAGGACGACTCATAGGCGCCAGGAGGAGGAATCACAGAGGAGCAGTAAAGCAGCAGCAGCCAAGGGGTGAGTAGCCGGCCCCACCAACAATTGCCCAACCTCTGCAGTCCTCTCTGTATGAAGGTGTTATCGATGTCGATACCCTGAACGGGGCCAAAGGGAAGGATGTTAGGAACGCCCCTCCCTTGCGGATTGTGTGACCATACTTCACCATTCTCGACAGTACGTGTTGGTTGCTGCAAGGACCGCTTCCGACGCGACCCGTCGCTCATCTTCAGCCGTGGCACGGAATCGAGGCCGTTCAGGACGCCGTGTGCGCAAAACAAAGCGCAACGCGCTAACCACTGCGCCACCGGTCCTCCGCGAGAAGGCAGACGAGCAGATGTGATACAATTATAAACGAACAAGCGGGAGTCTGTTTCAATCGCCAATTCGATCCGTATGAATCAAATAAAAATGTAACTCGTTGGCCAATCGGTCTACCGGGCATCCGGCCCAACAATTCTACAGCAGCAGCAGACGGCATTGATTTAAATCATTAGGTGGGAGTCCGCTGGCAAGATACATCCATCAGCTACTACCATGGTGACTGTCCCCGTGAACTTTACTCGCATCGCCACTTACACACACTGACCCACTCACCCAATCATTCACACACTCACTCATTCACTCAATCATTCACACACACACTGACCCACTCACTCAATCATTCACACACACACTCACTTACACAATCATTCACACACACACACACACTGACCCATTCACTCAATCATTCACACACACACACACCCACTCACTCACTCAATCATTCACACACACACTGTCCCATTCACCCAATCATTCACACACACACACTGACTCACTCACTCAATCATTGACACACACACTGACCCATTCACTCAATCATTCACACACACACTGACCCACTCACTCAATCATTCACACACACACACTGACCCAATCACCCAATCATTCACACACACACACTGACCCACCCACTCACTCAATCATTCACACACACATACACTGACTCACTCACACACACACACACACTGACCCACTCACTCAATCATTCACACACACACTGACCCACTCACTCACTCAATCATTCACACACACACACACTGACCCACTCACCCAATCATTCACACACACACACTGACCCACCCACTCACTCAATCATTCACACACACACACACTGACTCACTCACTCAATCATTCACACACACACACTGACCCACTCACTCACTCAATCATTCACACACACACACACTGACCCACTCACTCAATCATTCACTCACACACTGACCCACTCACTCACCAAATCATTCACACACACACACTGACTCACTCACTCAATCATTCACACACACACACTGACTCACACACTCAATCATTCACACACACAGACAATGACCCACTCACCCAAGCATTCACAAACACACAAACACTGACTCACTCACTCAATAATTCACACACACACTGACCCAATCATTCACACACACACTGACCCACTCACTCACTCACTCAATAATTCACACACACATACACTGACTCACTCACACACACACTGACCCACTCACTCAATCATTCACACACACACTGACCCACTCACTCAATCATTCACACACACACACACACTAACTCACTCAATCATTCACACACACACACACACTGACCCACTCACTCAATCATTCACACACACACACACTGACCCACTCACTCACTCAATCATTCACACACACACTGACCCACTCACTCACCAAATCATTCACACACACACACACTAACTCACTCAATCATTCACACACACACACTGACTCACACACTCAATCATTCACACACACAGACAATGACCCACTCACCCAAGCATTCACAAACACACAAACACTGACTCACTCACTCAATAATTCACACACACACTGACCCACTCACCTAATCATTCACACACACACTGACCCACTCACTCAATAATTCACACACACACACTCACTCAATCATTCACACACACACACTGACCCACTCACTCACTCAATCATTCACACACACACTGACCCACTAACTCACTCAATCATTCACACACACACACACACTAACTCACTCAATCATTCACACACACACACACTGACCCACTCACTCACCCAAGCATTCACAAACACGCAAACACTGACTCACTAACTCAATCATTCACACACATACACTGACTCACTCACTCACTCAATCATTCACACACACACTGACTCACTCACTCAATAATTCACACACACACACTGACCCATTCACTCACTCACCCAATCATTCACACACACACAAACACTGACTCACTCACTCATCCAATCATTCACACACACACACTGACTCACTCACTCAATCATTTACACTCACACACTGACTCACTCACTCAATCATTCACACACACACACTGACCCACTCACCCAATCATTCATTCACACACACTGACCCATTCACTCAATCATGCACACACACACACTGACTCACTCACTCACCCAAGCATTCACACACACACAAACATTGACTCACTCACTCAATCATTCACACACATACACTGACTCACTCACTCAATCATTCACACACACACTGACACATTCACTCACTCAATCATTCACACACACACTGACCCACTCACTCAATCATTCACACACACACACTGACCCACTCACTCACTCAATTATTCACACACACACTGACCCACTCACTCACTCAATCATTCACACACTCACTCACTCAATCATTCACACACACACACTGACCCACTCACTCAATCATTCACACACACACTGACCCACTCACTCAATCATTCACACATTCACATACACTGACCCACTCACTCACCAAATCAGTGACACACTCACACACACACATTCACACACACATTCACACAAGAACCCAATCACGCACCCACTCAAGAACCCAATCGGCGCTCAGTCTTCCTCTCGCCCATCGCGCGGGGCCTTGCTAAGCAATCATCAGGCGCGTGCAGCGTGCACAGAGACATTTCATTGTCGGCGGCGATCTCGGAGAGTGGGCTCGCAGTTTGGGTGATGTCGCGGAGGTTGTCACGGTGATCACAATGTTGCTGTTGTGTTGTTGTTGTGTTGTTGTGGTTGTCAGGATAAACGGCCACGTGCTTGTGATTGATCGGGAATGTGTTTTTCGACAGATACGTCGGAATGGGGCGGGGGGGAGGGACAGCGAACCAATTAACGTTAATGGGCAGCGTGTGTGGTGAGGCGGTTCACGTCACAAGGGGGGAGGTCAAAGCCCCCTCCTCACCATCCTCACCAAGGGGCCGTCCATAAATGACGTCACAAAGCTCTGCCCCCCCCCCCCCAAATAAAACATGCTTCAAATCGCTTTAAACTATTGTCATTGTAGTGCGTTTTTAATGTGGCGCTGTACTCCGATGTTGTAGGAGAAACATTTATTAAAAGTCTATTTAATGAAGTAGAACGTGTTGTCTATATTTATTTAAAGTTGCACATTTTGATGTGACGTCACATTTCTCAACCCCCCCTCCCCTCGTCACACATCGTCACAAATGTCTGACCCCCCCCCCCCCCAGGTGCGTGACGTCATTTATGGACGGCCCCCAATGTCTCAAGGTGTCCCGACCCAATGGGTCGCCGCTTTTTCTATATCAGCACTGGGGGAGACAAAGGCGGCCGGGCGTGGAATGTGGTTCTGGCCACACAACAGCACCACCGCCATCGTGAGCCATTTCCTGTCTTTGTAATAGGTGCTCGCTAACATCAGCTGCCCCCAACAGTCTGTTAAATACGGTACGGGGGATCTTTGTCTTTGGATACGGTTTGCGTGTGTTCCCCCGTGTGTCGCAGTGTGTCTGTGTGTGTGCGTTTCCATGTGTGTGGCTGTGTCTCTGTGTGGCTCTGTCTCTATGTGTGTCTGTTATTTATCTGCATCAGTGTGTCTACGTCCCCCGTCTCTATGTGTCTCAATGTGTATCTCTGTGTCTCTGTCTCTATGTGTGTCTGTGTCCGTGTCTCTATGTGTGTCTATGTCTCTATGTGTGTCTGTGTCTCTATGTGTGTCTCTGCGTGTGTGTCCGTGTCTCTATGTGTGTCTGTTATTTATCTGCGTCTGTGTGTATACGAGCCCGTCTCTATGTGTCTCAATGTGTATCTCTGTGTCTCTGTCTCTATGTGTGTCTGTGTCTCTATGTGTGTCTCTGCGTCTCTGTGTGTGTCTGTGTCTCTGTGTGTGTCTCTGTGTCTCTATGTGTGTCTGTGTGTGTCTCTGCGTCTCTATGTGTGTCTCTGTGTGTGTCTGTGTGTCTGTTATTTATCTGTGTCTGTGTGTATACGAGCCCATCTCAATGTGTCTCAATGTGTATCTCTGTGTCTCTGTCTCTATGTGTGTCTGTGTCTCTATGCGTGTCCGTGTCTCTCTGTGTGTCTCTGTCTCTATGTGTGTCTGTGTGTGTGTGTCCGTGTCTCTATGTGCGTCTGTGTCTCTATGTGTGTCTGCGTGGGGAGCGGTAGTGCAGCAGTTAGCGCGCCGCACTATGAACTCTACGAGTTCGATTCTCGCTCATGACCAACACCGGTCCTGGGCCTCCCCTAGGTCGACCCAGCCGCAAATGAGTACCTGGTGTGGTGTGTAAACATCGCCACTCGGGAGACAAAGCGGCCGGGCGTGGTTGCGGCCACCCACCCCCTGGTGTGCCGTGCCGGCCTTCATAGGTGCTACCCCCCAACAGCACTTGCCCCAAGTCTGTTACAGGCTACACGGGGGATCTTTGTCTTTGTGTGTATCTACGCGCGACCCTCACCGCCCCGCCTCCTCTCCCCCCGCCCCCCCACCCCACCACGCCATCCCCTATATAGAGACCCCGTTGCGACAGGGGACCCGTTTCGCTGGGGACCTGCGGCGGGTTCCACACGGACACGGATCCCCTTTGAACTCCACCATCGGCGGGGTCAGGAAGCACCGCAGGAGGGGCCGAAAGGTTACGCGGGGTCCCGAAGAGAGAGTCGCCCGTCTCCAGGTGGCGAGCACAACAGAGGTGCGGCCGGTGCAAACACTTCCACCATCTCTCATCGTTCGTTTACTTCGTATTTATACACACTAATCCCATCGTCATCACCAACATTATAATCACACCATCATCATCACCAACATCACCAACATTAAGCCCGTCATCATCACCAACATTAATCCCACCACCACAATCATCACCAACATTAATCCCAACATCACCACAAAATCATCACCAACATTAATCCCAACATCACCACAAAATCATCACCAACACTAATCCCACCACCACAATCATCACCAACATTAATCCCATCACCAACATCACCAACATTAATCCCACCACCACCACCACCACCACAATCATCACCAACATTAATCCCATCATCATCACCAACATCACCAACATTAATCCCACCACCACAACCACAATCATCACCAACATTAATCCCATCATCATCACCAACATCACCAACATTAATCCCATCATCATCACCAACATCACCAACATTAATCCCATCATCATCACCAACATCACCAACATTAATCCCACCACCACAACCACAATCATCACCAACATTAATCCCATCATCATCACCAACATCACCAACATTAATCCCATCATCATCACCAACATTAATCCCATCATCATCACCAACATCACCAACATTAATCCCATCATCATCACCAACATCACCAACATTCATCCCAAAATCATCACCAACAACCACATCTCATTCGACTCCACCACTCACCCGCTCCTCACCTCCGATTAGCACGGGTTGGCTACGTACGGTGCGAGCAGGAAGTTCAACATACATCATCGCCATCTCTCCGCGGTGCAGGCGGCCATGCGGCCGCCTGCACCGCGAGCTGATTCCATCCTCGCTCCATCTCCTCCGGAGCGGACGCTGTCCGTTCCATTAGGGCGCCACGGTGGCTCGGAGATGTTCACTCCCTCGCCTGGCATACAGGAGGTTGTGGGTTCTATCCCGACCCTGGCGTGTCCCTTCCTCTCCCCGGTGGTCGTGTGGATTTTTCTGCGGGTCCTCCTGTTTTGTTCCCTCCACATTTAGAATGAACATCACGCGCCTAGAGCATTTTGCTGCTGTGAATTCCCACACGACGATATGCCGCTTCGTTGAGCAATCATTTGCGATCGCCAGGTCGCTTCTGAAAAAAAACAGCTACACAGCTCGGTGGGGCCTTGCCTGGTAAAATAAAACAATAGATTCTCGCTTTATTTACCTGCCGCTCCGTCGTTAGTCCCTACCGCCGCTCGTCAGCGTCCCCTCGAAGCGAGGCGTCTCCTGCCGCCACCCACGCCCCACACCACGAGACCACACGTACAACAACAACAATCCTCACGCAGTCAGAGTGATCGACGTCTTGACCCCCCCACCGCCGCCGCCGTGTGGTTTCTCCACGTGCGCGCGCGTCTCTCTCGCTCTCTCGATTTCTCTCTCTCGATTTCTCTCTCGGTTGCAATTAACCGAGCGCGAGTCCGTCTCATCCACTCCTTCTCTTGCGAGCGCATTCTCTTTGCGTGACCGGTCCGACCCGTCCGATCCGTTTTCGTCACCTATCGGCGTCTCCTCCGAGCCATCGGGTCGATGTCGAGGGTTGTTACGCACCGATTCAAATCCAAAACAAACAAACAAACACACGCCGCACGTACAGAGAAAAAAAAAAATCTGCGACGAGGTGTCCGATTGTTTGTTTACGATTCCCAGATTTCGTACGGACCTTGGTTCACAAGGTGTTCTATGCGCGTTGCTGCTGCCCCAAACGTTTTGAAAGCACCACGTGACTTTTGTAACTCTTTTAAACGTCCAAAACGATTGAGGTCGAAACAAATTTGAAATGCGAATGTGAGTGATTGTTTTGGAAGAGTATTTGTTTGTATTTACATAATATATTTTAAAAATATATTTTATATCTTGGTTATTAACTCTGTCCGCTGGCAGAGTCACTCTCGAAAGAGAGCTGTCATATTTCAACGGGTTATTTACTCGGATATCAAACTGCTGATTTTGATTCAACGCTTTATTCTCTGGACACATCCCAATGTGTTTTTGACACAATGTCAAGTCCACCCTTCCAACCGCGCTCCAGCATCCACCGCACTGTCGCCCACCTCTAGAATCCATCACTTTGATCCTTGTCTGCGTTCAACACCCGTCCGTAGGTACACGACCAGGGCACACGACAGGGTACACGACAGGGCACACGACAGGGTACACGACAGGGTACACGACAGGGCACACGACAGGGTACACGACAGGGTACACGACAGGGCACACGACAGGGTACGCGTCCAGGGCACACGACAGGATACACGACAGGGTACACGACAGGGTACACGACCAGGGCACACGACCAGGGCACACGACCAGGGCACACGACAGGGTACACGACCAGGGCACACGACAGGGCACACGACAGGGTACACGACAGGGCACACGACAGGGTACACGACCAGGGCACACGACAGGGCACACGACAGGGTACACGACAGGGCACACGACAGGGCACACGACAGGGTACACGACAGGGCACACGACAGGGTACACGACAGGGTACACGACCAGGGCACACGACAGGGCACACGACAGGGTACACGACAGGGTACACGAAAGGATACACGACAGGGTACACGACAGGGTACACGACCAGGGCACACGACCAGGGTACACGACCAGGGCACACGACAGGGTACACGACCAGGGCACACGACAGGGCACACGACCAGGGCACACGACAGGGCACACGACAGGGTACACGACAGGGTACACGAAAGGATACACGACAGGGTACACGACAGGGTACACGACCAGGGCACACGACCAGGGTACACGACCAGGGCACACGACAGGGTACACGACCAGGGCACACGACAGGGCACACGACCAGGGTACACGACAGGGTACACGTCCAGGGCACACGACAGGGTACACGACAGGGTACGCATCCAGGGTACACGACCAGGATACACGACAGGGTACACGACAGGATACACCTTGCCTCGCCGTGCCTCCCAGTAGTGTCCCCGTGCCTCCCAACTTTGCTGCTGCGTCGGCAGTCGTGCACAAACAACAATAACAGCAGCAGCAGATATACACCATTCGTCAACAACAACAGTGTGTGTGCGCCTCTTAGAGGAAAAAATAAATATATTAGGCGACGTTTCGGACAATGGTCCTTCTTCACAGCACGTGGAGAGAACAGAGAGGAGTAGAACGAGTAGAGAGTTGACGAGTCTATTATGTTTCTACCTCTCTGGCCTCTCTCTGTGTGCCGTGAAGAAGGGCCACTGCCTGAAACGTCGTCTGTTATGTACTTTTGCATTTTAAAGCCGCAGTGTTATCGACAAATGTGTTGTTTGTTTTGTACGGGGTTATTAATTTAGTTCATATTTATATTTAGCAGTTGTCATGGCAACCACATCTCACGCGACTCCACCACTCACCTGCTCCTCACCCGCTCCTCACTCGCTCCCCACCCATCCCAGACTCTCTCAACATCGTTGTTCACCAACCCACTCCTACCCCTCTCGCAGCCTCCAAACATCCACCTTTATCTCTCCTCTCTCTCTTCTCTCTCTCCTCTCTCTCTGTGTCGCGCTGGGCAGAAGGTGTACATGGAGTCGAGCACGGAAGGAGCGGTGATGCCGGCGGAGGAAGCTTTTAAGCCGAAGGTAAATCCCACCACCATCATCACCAACATCACCAACATTAATCCCACCAACACCATCATCATTACCGTCGCCAACATTAATTCCACCATCATCACCAACATCACCAACATTAATTCCACCATCATCACCAACATTACCAACATTAATCCCACCATCATCACCAACATCACCAACATTAATTCCACCATCATCACCAACATTACCAACATTAATCCCACCATCATCACCAACATTAATCCCACCACCATCATCACCAACATTAATCCCACCATCATCATCACCAACATTAATCCCACCACCATCATCACCAACATCACCAACATTAATTCCACCATCATCACCAACATTACCAACATTAATCCTACCTGTGACCGCCGCGACAATGTCCCCCTCTCAGCGTGTACCCCCTCCGTGTGTAGGGGGATGCGCTGACCCAGCGTGTCCTGACCGCCCCTAGTGGAGCTGGGGTCACGCGTGGCGCTGGACCCCCTTCTTCTACCTGTGACCGCCGCGACAATGTCCCCCTCTCAGTGTGTACGCCCTCCGTGTACCCCTCTGCGTGTAGGGGGACGCGCTGACCCGCGTGTCCCAGCTGCCCCTGGTGGAGCTGGGCTCGCGCGTGGCGTGGGACGCGTACGGGGACGCCAAGCGGAGGAACCGCGCCCTCTCCGCGCTCTGCGGCCTTGCCGAGCTGTGGCTCCGCGGGGTCGCGGCCCTCGCGAAGCGCACCGGGAGGCCGCTCGCCTCCCTCCTCGAGTCCCAGCGTGAGTACCCGGCCGTGCCCCACACTGAGTACCCGGCTGTGCCCCACACTGAGTACCCGGCCGTGCCCCACACTGAGTACCCGGCCGTGCCCCACACTGAGTACCCGGCCGTGCCCCACACTGAGTACCCGGCCGTGCCCCACACTGAGTACCCGGCCGTGCCCCACACTGAGTACCCGGCCGTGCGCCACACTGAGTACCCGGCCGTGCCCCACACTGAGTACCCGGCCGTGCCCCACACTGAGTACCCGGCCGTGCCCCACACTGAGTACCCGGCCGTGCCCCACACTGAGTACCCGGCCGTGCCCCACACTGAGTACCCGGCCGTGCCCCACACTGAGTACCCGGCCGTGCCCCACACTGAGTACCCGGCCGTGCCCCACACTGAGTACCCGGCCGTGCCCCACACTGAGTACCCGGCCGTGCCCCACACTGAGTACCCGGCCGTGCCCCACACCGAGCACCCGGGGGTAACCCACACAGAGCACTGGCATGCTCAACGCGAGTGCCGGGGTAAGCCAGCGTGAGTGCCGTGGGGAATCCAGATCCTGGCAGCAGGGGTTCTGTATCGAGTCAAGGGGTCTCGGGACGAGTACCGGGATACCCGCAGAGAGTGCCGGGGATACTGCAGAAGTGGGGGGGCTGGGGTGGGGGGGACAATCGATTATCAGGCATCCTCTGTGACCGTGGCGGCCGGCGGAGGTTGGTCTCGATGTTTGGGCGGAGTGGGTTCACATTGGACACCGGCCGGCATCTCGGGGGTGCGGGATAGTGGGGGAGAGGGGGGGGGGTCCTTTCTAACTGTGGGGGGCAAGGTGGGGGAGGGGAGGGGGTCTCCGCATGTGGTGGACCGCAATGCTAACCGGAGAACTCGCGGCACGGCAAGTTGGCGACCAAGGGGCACACGGTAGACCGAGGGGTCTGCTGGGGATGAGTTAGAGGTTCTTCTGGGGGAGGGGGCGGGGGGGGTTCCAAAGTGAGTGGAGGGGTCTCAGCACGGGGGGGGTTACAGGGGGTCTCGCGGCGTCACGTGACAGCTGCATCAGGGGCACATGGCGGCACAGGGGGGTGAGCGCGTCCCCCAACACCAGGGGGTACACAGAGGGAGTCAGGGGGGCACGCAAGTGGAGCACAGGGGTCACAGGGAGACAAACGGGATCCTTCGCCACCCCCATCCTCAACTCCACCACCACCACCACCCCCACCCCCACCACGACGCCAACTCCACCTCACCCCAACTGCAGCACCACCGCCACCCCAACTTCACCATCACCCCAACTCCACCACCACCACTACGACCCCACCACCGCCACCCCAATGCCACCACCACCCCAACTCCACCACCATCCCAACTCCACCACAACCCCAACTCCACCACCACCCCAACTGCACCGCTACCCCAACTCCACCACCGCTACCCCAACTCCACCACCGCTACTCCAACTCCACCACCACCCCCACCGCCACCCCTCCCAACTCCACCACGACCACCGTTTGACCTGGTTGCGAAAGTCTCGTTGGGGTGAGGCGGCGGCGCTGTTTGTGATTATTTTTTAATTTAATACACGCGCCCCCCCAGTATCCACCACGCCACGCGCGGTGGAATGTTGTAGGGGGGGGGGGGGCACCCGTGTCGAGCTGGCAGCTGACGAGCTGGAAAGACGAGCCCCTGAGTCTCGAGCCAGGCGCGCGAGTCTCGAACCAGTAGCACGAGGGAGCCTGCATTGTGTGGGGAGCCGGTGGCGTAGCGGTTAGCGCGCTGCACTACGAACCCGGCGATCCGAGTTCAATTCCTGCTCAAGGCCACCAACACCGGTGACGATTATCTGAACCGGTCCTAGGCCTTCCCCTAGGTCGACTCAGCCTCAATTGAGAACTTGGTGCGATGTGTAAAAACAAAGGAGGCCTGGCGTGGTGCTGGCCACCCACCCTCTCGTGTACCGTCCCAGCCTTCATAGGCGCTCGCTAACAGCACTTGCCCCCACAGTCTGTTTAGGCTACACGAGGGATCTTTGTCTTTTGTTGTGGGTAGACGGAGGGTTGACATGGATTGAACATGCCGGGGATTTGTTTTGGATGAAGTTTCTGATCACCAATGCTGATGTTGTTGATGCAAATATACAACAACACCCGTACAGATGTCGGGAACAAAAACAACCTCCACACCGTGTGGCCCTCACACGTGTCCCACCCATCACTACCTCCTCCTCATCATATTCGCTACCTCCAAGTTGCTTATCCTCCCCTTCGTCTCCACCCTCATAAGGCAACGTGCTCTTTATAAAATAGACGTTTTGGTCATTGGCCCTTCTCTTTATACGCCATACTTCTCTGGTCCCTCTCTATGTGCCGTGAAGAAGGGCCATTGTCCGAAACGTCTATTATATGCACATATATGTGAGCCGCGGTGGCGAGATGTTAACCACCTCGCCTTGTATACAGGAGGACATGGGTTCAAGCCCGACCCTGACGCCTGCTGTATATTTCGAGTTTGCGGTGTCTCTCTCACCGTGGTCGCGGGGATTTTTCTCCGGGGTCCTCCGTTTTGTCCCTTCCACATTTAGAATCAACAACACCACGCGTTTCCAGTGTTTGGCTGCTATAAATGTCCACTTGATAAGCCACTTCGTTAAGCTATCATTTGTGGCCAGGTCGCTTCTGAAAAAAGAGCTACATAGATCAGTGCGCCTTACCTGGTAAAATGCTTTTTTAAAATATCTGAATATAAAGAAAAACATAAATCCAGTTCCTTACAACCAATCTATTGGTCAAAGCAGACCCAGCTCTGCTGAGTGTTGCTCGTGTTGAACCAATTGCTGCGGAGATTTTGCTCTACGAGAAGGAAGGCCGCGTGTGGCTGATGGGATGAGTCGAGAAACAAAACACGACGTTCACGATGGAGGAACTGATACGCGAGGGAGGCATATTGTCCGCTTGGGTATTCCGTTACATGTCCAGTCAAATGCAATTTAAGTCGGTACGCGCTGCACGCGCCTGATGATTGCCAACCCCGTTTTGCAATCTGCAGGTCACAAGTTTAAATCCCCATTATAGGGGTCGACTCATAATCGTATTCCTCTTTCTATGCAGATAACATGTTTACCACTTTGAGGATTGGGTTATTGTATGCACGTATGCATCTCCTCTTTCCCAGCGGAGATGCCTTCTTGGCGAGTGTGACCGTTTCAACCTAATGGGCATCTGTGAAGAAGAGCTTTGTAGCTCGTCGGATTCCTCGAGTGTATAAATAAACACTCCGATTCCGATCTTTCTCACTGCTGCCCCCTCCCCCAACACCCCCGACTCATCCCGCCAATCACGACGCACCGCGCCGCAGTCGCCTTCGCCAATGACATCGCGTGCCTGGGTCTGGACGCCATCGAGGAGCGCGTGCCCATGCTGCACCAGACTCCTGACAAGGTGAGGGGGGCGGGGGGAGGGGATGAGGGGCGGGGGGAGGGCGAATGGGCCGAGGGTCGGGGGGGGGCGAGGGGAGGGGGCAGGGGGAGGGGGGCGGGGGGAAGGGGGCGGGGGGGTGAGGGGCGGGGGAGGGTGATGGGGAATGGGACGAGGGGCGGGGGGAGGGGGACTAGGGGGGAGGGGCGGGGCAAGTGGCGTGGGCGATCCCATTCATCATTCTCAGCCATTGTCTATCTACTGCTGGATGAATGATCTCACCGCACCGTCACCATCCACCGCTGCTGCCATCCACATGTAAACTAAATCTATTCTATATTTGACCAGGTAAGGCCCACTGAGCTATGTGGCTCTTTTTTCCAGAAGCCACCTGGCCACAAATGAAAACTCATAAAAGTGGCTTATCGTGTGGAAATGTATAGCAAGCAAATACTCTCAACGCGTGTTTCTAAACGGGGAGGGGGAAAACCGGAGGACCCGGAGAAAAATCCACGCGATCACGGGGAGAGAGACACGCAAACTCCAAAGACAGCAGGCATCGTCAGGGTCGGGATCGAACCCAAGCGCTCCTGAATACCAGGCAAGGTAGTTAACATCAATTTGGCTGTCATGCCGTCCCTAGTCTCGTCCATAGACCCCATGTCCGTGCAATGTCCAAGTCACGCTCCTCACTCAAACCTCACTTATACTGGTAGGAACCTCCTGGTAACACCAGCCCACAGGGGATTATTGTGTCCGTCCGTCCATTGTGCAGGGAGGGGCTGGGTGGGGAGGGGCTGGGTGGGGAGGGGAGGGTGGGGAGGGGCTGGGTGGGGAGGGTGGGGCTGGGTGGGGGGGTGGGAGGGGTGGGGCTGGGTGGGGAGGGGCTGGTCACCCCGTGGTGCCCTTATAAAACTCAACGTTTAATCTCTTCACGCCGGCTTGTGCCCGCCCTCACAGTCGGGCATATTTGCGGAATACACCACGCCGCCGTTGACCCTGGCCATTGACCGAGCAACCCAACGTTCCTACCAGCTCCCTCCGCAGGAACGTGTTTCTTCCCTAGCCCACCCCACGACCCCCTTAATAACCCCCACTGTTCCCTCTTCATTCATCATCATCATGATCTACTCTCATCAATTTCGCTTTCACCGAATTCACAGATGTGCCCCCATTGCTTCCTCTCATCGGATTTCATTCACCTCATCTCCACAATGACATTCGCATGTAGCGCCGTCGTTAATTCGTTGGGACGGGGTTCACGTTAGCGCCTTAACCCAGCGCCTTAACCAAGGCGCTATTACAGATCCCGTTGAGATGAAGAAGTCGCCTGTCTTGTCGATGCGACGTCCCTCCCCGATCCGTCGATGGGTTGCGCGGCGGCAACAACCTGGGCAGCGCCTCCACCGAGCCGAGCCGACAAGAGCCCCCCCCCCCCCCCTGTGTGTGTTTGTGTGCGACCTTAAATAGGTAGTGTAGCGGTTAGCGTTACGAACCCCCGTGACCCGAGTTCAATTCCCGCCCACGGCCAAAACCTATGACGATTATCTGAAACCGGTCCTGGGCCTCCCCTAGGTAGACTCGGCCTCAATTGAGTACCTGGTGCGGTGTGTAAACATCGGCATTGGGGAGACAAAGGCGGCCGGGTGTGGTGCTGGCAACCCAGCCTGCCGTGTGCCGTCCCGCCGGCCCTCATAGGTGCTCGCTAACAGCACTTTCCCAACAGTCTGTGAAAGGCTACGCGGGGGATCTTTGCTTGAAAATGACAAACACGTAAGAGGCGACGTTTTGGGCAATGGCGCTTCTTCATAGCGCATCAGGGTTATTCAGAAGGGTCGTTGTCCGAAATGTCACCTGTTGTATATTTTTGCTTTTTTTATGTTTCCATCTTGAGTGAGGAATGTGTTGGGGCCTGCTGTTATTTGTGCGCCACTGCCAATGTAGCAGCAGTATCCCCAATGAGTTTGTTCTCTATCAAGGCACTGAGTGATACCCTTACTCCAGTGACACACGAGTACTGCTACTACTACTAGAGTTAAACTGACCTACTTCGACTGGTCCTCAGCTGACATTTCTCATGTTCTTCCTCTCCACCGACCTTCCCCCTCACTCCTCCCTTAATCTCCTCCTCCCATCTCCCCCCATCTCCACCTACCTCCCCATCTCCTCCCATCTCTCCATCTCCTCCCATCTCCACCTACCTCCCCATCTCCTCCCATCTCCACCTACCTCCCCATCTCCTCCCATCTCCACCTACCTCCCCATCTCCTCCCATCTCTCCATCTCCTCCCATCTCCCAATCTCCTCCCATCTCCACCTACCTTCCCATCTCCCCATCGTCCCATCTCCCCCCACCCCCTCCCAAAGGTAATGGCGCGCGCCATGGACGCGGGCTCCGTGGCCGTGGAGTCGGCGCGTGGCCTCGCCGCGGCGGGCCTGGGCGCGCTGATGAGCACCAAGGTGGGCGAAGTGGCGCACGCGGTCGTGGAACTCACGCTGAGCCGCGCGGAGATGGCGCTCGAGTGCTACCTCCCCGACGCGGGCGACGAGGAGGAAGCCGACGCGAGCAGCAGCAGCAGCAGCAGCAGCCGCGCCATTGAGAGGCGGACAGGTGAAGGGAGAACGGGGGTGGTGGGGGAAAGGAGGAGGTGATGGTGCAGGGAGGGGAGGGGGTGATGGTGGAGAGAGGGGAGGGGTGATGGTGGAGGGGGGGAGGGGGTGATGGTGGAGGGAGGGGAGGGGGTGATGGTGCAGGGAGGGGAGGGGGTGATGGTGAAGGGAGGGGAGGGGGTGATGGTGGAGAGAGGGGAGGGGGTGATGGTGGAGGGGGGGAGGGGGTGATGGTGGAGGGAGGGGAGGGGGTGATGGTGGAGAGAGGGGAGGGGGTGATGGTGGAGAGAGGGGGAGGGGGTGATGGTGGAGGGGGGGGAGGGGGTGATGGTGAAGGGAGGGGAGGGGGTGATGGTGCAGGGAGGGGAGGGGGTGATGGTGAAGGGAGGGGAGGGGTGATGGTGAAGGGAGGGGAGGGGGTGATGGTGGAGGGGGGGAGGGGGTGATGGTGGAGAGAGGGGAGGGGGTGATGGTGCAGGGAGGGGAGGGGGTGATGGTGAAGGGAGGGGAGGGGTGATGGTGAAGGGAGGGGAGGGGGCGATGGTGGAGAGAGGGGAGGGGGTGATGGTGGAGAGAGGGGAGTGGGTGATGGTGGAGGGGGGGAGGGGGTGATGGTGGAGGGGGGGAGGGGTGATGGTGGAGAGAGGGGAGTGGGTGATGGTGCAGGGAGGGGAGGGGGTGATGGTGGAGGGGGGGAGGGGTGATGGTGGAGGGGGGGAGGGGTGATGGTGGAGGGAGGGGAGGGGTGATGGTGGAGGGAGGGGAGGGGTGATGGTGGAGGGAGGGGAGGGGTGATGGTCGAGGGAGGGGAGTGGATGATGGTGGAGGGGGGGAGGGGTGATGGTGGAGAGAGGGGAGGGGGTGATGGTGGAGGGGGGGAGGGGTGATGGTGGAGGGAGGGGAGGGGTGATGGTGGAGGGAGGGGAGGGGTGATGGTGGAGGGAGGGGAAGGGGTGATGGTGGAGGGAGGGGAGGGGTGATGGTGGAGGGAGGGGAGTGGATGATGGTGGAGGGGGGGAGGGGTGATGGTGGAGAGAGGGGAGGGGGTGATGGTGGAGGGGGGGAGGGGTGATGGTGGAGGGAGGGGAGGGGGTGATGGTGCAGGGAGGGGAGGGGGTGATGGTGGAGGGGGGGAGGGGTGATGGTGGAGAGAGGGGAGTGGGTGATGGTGGAGGGGGGGGAGGGGTGATGGTGGAGAGAGGGGAGGGGGTGATGGTGGAGGGGGGGGAGGGGTGATGGTGGAGGGGGGGAGGGGTGATGGTGGAGGGAGGGGAGGGGGTGATGGTGCAGGAGGGGAGGGGGTGATGGTGGAGGGGGGGAGGGGTGATGGTGGAGAGAGGGGAGTGGGTGATGGTGGAGGGGGGGGAGGGGTGATGGTGGAGAGAGGGGAGGGGGTGATGGTGGAGGGGGGGGAGGGGTGATGGTGGAGGGAGGGGAGGGGGTGATGGTGGAGGGAGGGGAGGGGGCTGAAGAGGGGGTTGGTCCATCACAACCAACTCAGATTGATCACGACCATTTGTAGGGGGGACATGCCCCCCCCCCCCCGCTGGCAGCATGTATCTGTGTGTGTGGTGCCTGGGATGGGGGTTGGTTACTTGTCGCATTCGGCGGCATGTGGAATGTAGAGATGCGTCCATCACCGTTGTAATCGGAGTCTCCTTCCTCATCTTCCCCCCCTCCGTTCCCAGGGAAGGACGGGGTGGACGGCTCAGGGGGGGGGCAGGAGGAGGAAGCGGCGCCGCCCCCGCGGCAGGAGGCGGGGTTCGGGGTGCGCACCGCGGTGCTGCTCTCGCGGGTGGCGCGGCGCGGCTCGCGGCGCGCGCGCGCCCTCGCCTTGCGGGGTGCGCGCGTGCCTCGCGCGCTGCTCACGTCCCTGGGGCTGGTACGTGCGCGTGCGTTGCGCGTGTGCGCGTGCGTTGCGCGTGTGCGCGTGCGTTGCGCGTGTGCGCGTGCGTTGTGCGCGTGCGTTGCGCGTGTGCGCGTGCGTTGCGCGTGTGCGCGTGCGTTGCGCGTGTGCGCGTGCGTTGCGCGTGTGCGCGTGCGTTGCGCGTGTGCGCGTGCGTTGCGCGTGTGCGCGTGCGTTGCGCGCGTGCGTTGCGCGTGTGCGTGCGCGTGTGCGCGTGCGTTGCGCGTGGCGTTGCGCGTGTGCGCGTGCGTTGCGCGTGTGCGCGTGCGTTGCGCGTGTGCGCGTGCGTTGTGCGTGCGAGTGTAGTAGGTGAGCGCGCTGCGCTACGAACCTGGCGACCCAGGTTCGATTCCCGCTCACGACCAACACCCATTGACGATTATCTGAAACGGTCCCGGGTCTCCGCTAGGTCGACTCAGTCTCAAATTGAGTACCTGGTGCGGTGTATAAACATCGCCGCTGGGGAGACAAAGGCGGCCGGGCGTGGTGTTGCCCACCCACCCTCTCGTGTGCCGTGCCGGCCTTCATAGGTGCTCACAAACAGCACTTGCTCCTACAGTGTGTTCAGGTAATACGGGGGATCTTTGTATTTTTTACATGCGTAGACAACAAAGACAAAGGTCACCCGTGTAGCCCACACAGGGCTGCTGGGGCAAGTGCGGCACACACCGCACCGGATTCTCGTTTCAGGCCGAGTCGTCCTAGGGGAGGCCCAGGACCAGTTCCCCACACGATACATACAAACGGGTACACGCGCACAGGGTTCGGCTACATTGGGATATCGCCGCGTGATCCACCGCATCCACTACCACCGCCAACCTGCCGTGCTTGGTTCATAATGCGCTGCGAAGGGCTATTGCCCAAAACGTCGCCTCGTATATTGTCCTTTGAAGGCCACTGTGCTATTGGCACGGGAAGTGTTGAGTTGTTAACTGTGCATACTCTTTGGTTCTTTCGGTAAAGTCACGTACTGTAGGTGAAAAATAATGAGAATAAAAATAAAGAATAAAAATAACTAAATTAAATCACGACGTTTCGGAGGCAACACACGCTTCCGTCATTTATTTTGACCTACGTGACTTTACCGAAAGAACCAAAGAGTATGGATCCTTGCAGTCACGAAAACTTCAAATCCAGAATTTGTTAAGTGTGCTTGTGCACCACTTGCAACGGTCTTCCTTACGATATTAGGAAGCCGCTGGAGCCATGCACTTTGAAATAATCGAGATTGAAAACTTAACTTCTTTAGAACTGCTTCTTGTGTTCAGTTTGTTGTCCTTCCCCCGCACCTTCGATTGGCACGGTCGGCTACGTGCGGTGCGAACGAGGCTCACTGCACGTGCAATCCAGCAGTAGCATCGCCCGAGAGAAGTGTTTCACAACAGCCACCTTGGCTCTCTCTCCACCCTCTCCCCCCACCCCGGACCGCAGCACCCGGACCGCGGGGTGTGGCTGGTGTCTCGCCGCGCCGTGGGGGTCCTGCAGGCGGCGCTCGGCGTGGCGAAGGGGGCCGCGGGGGTCTGGCTGATTGCCACCGTCAAGACCTTCAACGCCTCCAAGGTGGTGCTGGGCATCTCCGTGGCCATTCCCCGCATGGCCCTGCGAGTTCAGATGGCGACTGTCAGGTCAGTCAGCAGTGGGGGTGGGGGGCACACTCAGGAGGGTGGGGGGCACTCAGGAGGGTGGGGGGGTCACTAAGGAGGGTGGGGGGGGGGCACTAAGGAGGGTGGGGAGCGTAATACAAAACGTGCCCATCAGTTACAACTGTCACGTAACAAACCTGACTAATTGCCTGTGCCGGGTGGTGGCGGGTTCAACGGCACATTTATATTCACGCGATCTGACCCCCACAACAACTTGCCCCACGTACCTCACTCACGCCCCCCCTTGCGTCTCTGCCCCGTGCCTCTCCCCCTCTCCCGCAGGGTGTCGATGCGCGTGGCGCGCGTTTGGCTGCGCGGCGCCGGGATCGCGTGGGGCGCGACGCGGGGCGCTTGGGGCGCCGGAATGGGCGCCGCGCGCGTCGCCCGCCGCCTCGCCATCACCATCCCCGAGCACCTGGTGCACAACACCCCGCTCAGCTGGCTGGTAGGTCCGCAGTTCGGGCTGCGCAACGCCGCGGGGAGTCGCGGGGAGGCGCCCGGAGGAGGCGAGAGCCAAGCGCTCGCCTCGTGGGAGCGCGCCATGGAGCGAGACATCGCCATGCGCAGACGTTTCAGGGCAAACACCTTCTAGACCAGAGGGTGCGCCGGCGCCAGCGGTGGCTAGGAGATGTTAACTACCTCGCCTGGTGTGCAGGAGGTCGTGGGCGAGATCCCGACCCTGACGCCTGCTGCTGTATATTTGGAGTTTGCATCTCTCTCAGTGGTCGCGTGGATTTTTCTCTGGGTCCTCCGGTTTTCCCCTCCACATTTTAGAATCAACATCACGCGTTTTCGAGTAATTGGCTGCTGCTATAGATGTCCACGTGATGATGATGAGCTTCTTTGTGGCCAGGTCACTTCTGAAAAACATCAGAGTGGACCTGATCTGGTTAAAAAAAAAAACGGAGTTTTTAAGTTTGGTGGTCCATTCGTGATGACATGGGGGGGGGGGCTGAGGGGCGGGCAGAGGGAGAGGGGGGTGTGTGGATGCGGCGTCGCGTTGACAGTCGTGCTGACAGTCATAAAGGTGACCCGGTGTGAACTTGTAACTTGTAACAAAATGAGTGGAGCTGTCCCTCCACGTCTCGATCTCGAAATCAGCTCCACTTCCATAGGGGGGCGGGCGGGCAGAATAAAAGGCCTGTTGGAAAGCACTTATGCGGCAGAATCCATGCGCACGCACGATTGTTCTTCCTTGTTGGAATGGATGTCAGCCTGGATGTTGGTGCCGAGATGTTAACTGCATTGCCTGGTATACAACCCTGACGCCTGCTGTATATTTGGAGTTTGCGGTGTGTCTCTGCCCCCGCGGGTGCGTGGATTTTTCTCCGGGTCCTCCGGATTTTTCCCTCCACATCGAGATCGACATCACGCGTTCAGAGTATTTGGCTGCGATACATCTCCACGTGATAAGCCGCTTCTTTGAGCCGTAAAATAATGTCCAGGTCGCTTCTGAGAAAGAGTTACACAGCTCAGTGGGCCTTACCTGGTAAAATAAAACAGTTTAATAGTTACGTTTTAATAGTTTGGTGCAGTATAAACAGAGCACCATCAGCAGCAGCAGCATCGTCATAATCGTTATCGGTTGTAATCAAGAGCTAATGACAATCATAACACACGATAATCAGTAACATAATGATCAATAACTAGGTTATAATTATCGCTAAGGCTACCACCACTGTATTTACCCACCACCAGATCGTGTAATCAATTCAAATCACCATACCCACCACCTCGTGTAATCAATTCAAATCACCATACCCACCACCTCGTGTAATCAATTCAAATCACCATACCCACCACCAGATCGTGTAATCAATCCAAATCACCATACCCACCACCTCGTGTAATCAATTCAAATCACCATACCCACCACCTCGTGTAATCAATTCAAATCACCATACCCACCACCTCGTGAAATCAATCCAAATCACCATACCCATAACCTCGTGTAATCAATACAAATCACCATACCCACCTCCACCTCGTGTAATCAATACAAATCACCACCCCCGCGTGTAATCAACGCCGATGCCCCTCACCACGTGACACCCCCTCCTGATGATGCCTGTGCTGTGGGTTCGTACGGGGAGGCGGCGGGGGGAGGGGGGCTACTCCTTCTGTCATAATAAACCCCCCGCTTGCAAACCGCATCTCTCGCACCTGTCTCTCTTACTCCGCGAGGGGGTCCCGAGTGTGTGCAGGGGGTCTCGAGTGTGTGCAGGGGGTTTCGAGTGTGTGCTGGGGGTAGGAACCCAAGTTGAATGTCACACTCGGGATCCACGGAGTGAATTTCACGGGGTGATGGATGAGCGATGAGATTCGCTCGGTCGTTCCTCTGTCAATCAATCACGACACGCCTGAGAGCCTCACCTGAGAGCCTCACCTGAGAGCCTCACCTGAGAGCCTCACCTGAGAGCCTCACCTGAGAGCCTCACCTGAGAGCCTCACCTGAGAGCCTCACCTGAGAGCCTCACCTGAGAGCCTCACCTGAGCCAGACTCGAACCTGCAATACACTCACTCCCGACGCGTTCACACCGGGTAGAGGTGGTGGTGGTGGTGGCGACGCCGCTGCACGTGGCTGCCTGTAACCCAGCGCCGCTGTCGAGGCAGTAGCGAGGGTTGGTGGATCACCGATGAATGTTGTGATACTCCCTTCCGTCGTGGGCGTCGCGAAGGAGTCACACATCTGGCTCGCCAGAAGGCGGTACAGCAAGTGTTTAGTTTGTTGTCCTTCCCCGCACCTCCGATTAGCCCGGTTGGCTACGTACGGTGCGAAAGTAGTTCAACATACATAAATCGCCATTTGTTTATTCCGTCTTGACGGGGATAGCGCGTTGCCCCTTCGCGCAAGGTGGTGGCGTTTCCTCCTCCTCCCACGTGAATAATAAACAAACACGACTCATTGTCGTTCATCGACTGAAAACATTCAAAAATAAAACCTCAATTTAGTAGCAGCAGCAGCATCCTCCTGAAAAATTATCCGACGATTCAGTGCGGCTGTCGTGGGGGAAAAGTTAAGGGAAAATGTCAAAACTGGGTGCACCCTGGGTGGCCAAAAACTTGAGTTTTGGACACTCAGGGTGCACCCAGTTTTGACATTTGTCAAATACACTTGATAATTGTATACTAGCACAGTGTGCCAGCACCCCATTCATCCAAACACTTGGTATTTGTATACTGGCACACTGTGCCAGCACCCCATTCATCTAAACACTTGGTATTAGTATGCTGGCACAGTGTGCCAGCACCATATAACTACACACACTTGATATTTGTACGCTGGCACAGTGTGCCAGCACCCCAACGACCAACATTTCAAGCTACGGCTCGGACTCGGAAGTGAGCTCGGGGCGGGCTTGCGACCAGGCGGGCGCACTGCCACCTTGCGTGATGACCTAGACTAGTGACTCGCGTCAATACCAAACTTTTGGATTGTGGGTTGATGCTACGCGCTACTGTACACCCTTAAATTTGCCATGCATTCGACCATAGCCCGCCAAACGACCAAGCACAGAGACAAAGGCGACGTCCTTGGGAGATGGACCAGCCTGCTTGACGCTCCTGACCATGGTCCCAATGGTGCGGAACAAACCAACGAATGCGCATCTCGTTGATTGGTCAATCCTTTGGCCCACCGTTACGGTGATTGGCGGAAATATTGTGTGAAAAATCAAATTGCTGGCAATGAAAATAGACATATTGTCTCGTGAAAAATTGAAAGTAGACGTAGAAACGTGATTTTTCACAAGCATTTTTCGCGAAACAGGTGGAGGAGCGGCTCACATTCGAATGGCAACCCTCCACCCCAAGAAGACTTTTACCACGCGCCGCGAGGCCATCCACGGCATCCAAGACTTTGCTTTGCAACAAGGCAAGCGCGCGGTCCTTGACCTCAAGCGAAGCGGCGGACGGCACGTTGCCATCGTCTGCTCTAGTTCAACACCTTGTTCCTTCAAGGTGAAGCTGACGAAGCTCACGGGGGAACGACGCGGCTTCCGCGTCTCGGCGCTGTGCACGGATCACCACGGCTGCACGGGCACTACCAAGATCACGCAGCGCCAAGTGGAGGCGAACACGACAGCCCGTTCGGCCTTTCGCGCCAACCCCCGTACCTCCGCACCGACTGTCATTGCCCAGGTCGCCGACGTTGCTCGCGTCATTGTCCCGACCCAGGATGATGTACCGCGCCAAGGACACGTGCATCGCGGCGAACGAGAGTGCGGCCCATGCAGGCTTCGAGTTCATCAACTCGCTGGTGGAGACGTTCGGCAAGCTCAACGCGACGACCTGCAGTGTGCGAGAAGACGCGGGCATCTTCTGGGGTGCGTTCATCTGCAACCCGATCGCACGCTCGTTGCAGCCAAGTCTTCAACGCGTCGTCGGCATCGACGGGTCGCACATGAAGGCGCGCGCCTACAACGGAACCATGCTCGTCCTCGTTGGGCGCGACGGCAACAACCGCAACGTCCTTCTCGCCGTGGCGCTGGTGCCGTCCGAGACGGCAGCGGCCTACGACTGGTTTCTCAACTGCTGCACGACCAACGACATCGAGCTCGACGGCACGCCGGTCTTCTGCGATCGTGGCACGGGCATCCTAGCCTCCGACTGGAAGGACCTCATGCTCATCCACTGCACGCAGCATTTGATCTGCAACGGCGTGGACAACATCGGCTCCGCGTTCACGCCCGACCTCCAAGGCATCATCTACGATGCCCAAGGGTGCACCTCCGAGGCCGCGTTCCGCAGCTCCTTGGGCTGCTTGGGCGTAGCTCTGCCTGCGGCGGCCACGTACTACAACAAGATCGACCCCCACACGTGGGCGCTCTACCCGCACCTGCACACGACGCCATTGTACGGCTGGCGCACGACGAACTTTGTGGAGTCCACGAACAGCGAGGCCCTGCCGGCTCGCGAGATGGACCCCTTCCACTTCCTCATGCACCACATGGAAGACATGATGACGACGGCCTTTGCCCACCGCAGCGACGCCGAGAAGTGGGCCGCTCAAGGGCATGTCATTACGCCGTACGCTCAAGGACTCATCGACGCTCAGCAGGCGTTGGCCCCGAGGTACAAGGTCTACGAGAGTACCTCGACGCGTGCATACATCAAGGATCCAGACGCCTACGCCTCTGCCAAGCGCCGAGTCGATCTCAGCTCTCGGTCGTGCACGTGCGGGTACATGAAGCAGATGGGCTTGCCGTGTCGGCACTACATTCGTGCCCTCATGGCGTTTGGGCGGATGCCCGAGCTCTACGACGCATGTGCGGTGTGTTACCAAGTCTCTGCCATCAACACGACATGGACCTCGGTTGCCGGTATCGAGCTGCCAATTGCCGAGGAGCTGCAACGCGACAACACCATGATGCCACCTCCTCGCCAGAAGAAGGCTGGCCGCCCGAAGAAGCGTCGGATTCGCAACCGTGGCGAAGGTGGCCCATTGGGCCTCACGCGGTGCTCCTTCTGTCGCGCCAAGGGCCACAACAAGCGCTCTTGCCCGTCCAAGTAGTTATATATATGTAACAAACATGTTTTGTTCTAAGTGTGCAGCACCATACTTCTCGACGCAAACACTATCTACCGTTGTTCTACTGTAGTAGGTGTAGCATGCAAGCTGGCACACTGTACCAGTATACAAATGGCAAGTTCGTGTATGTTCGCGAGCTGAAAGTGTTACTGTAGTTGCAAGCTGGCACACTGTGCCAGTATACATATGGCAAGTAAGTGTTACTGTAGTAGCGAGCTGGCACACTGTGCCAGTATACAAACGGCAAGTAAGCGAGCTGGCACACTGTGCCAGTATGCAAACGGGAAGTTTGTGGTGCAAGGTATGGAACATGAGCCACGAGAAACATCATTTGGAACGCTCTAAATCTGTGGCGACATATGGATGAATAACGCAAGGACCTAAACGTGTACAAAATGATACATTAAATCGTACACCTTCTTCACCCAGTTTTGACATTTGTCCACATTGAACATCACCCAGTTTTGTCATATCAAAAAGCACCACCCTGTTTTGCCTGTCGTTTTCCAAGACCACCCAGTTTTGACATTTGGGATCCAGTTTTGTCGGCAAAAGTTAAAAACCACCCAGTTTTGACATTTTCCCGAAAAGTTAATTATTAAATTACTTAATACTAGATTTGAAGCTTTCGTGACTGCAAGGATTCATACTCTTAGGCTTTTTCGGTAAAGCCACGCAGGTAAAAAATAAAAATAAAATATAAAATAATAACAAATGAAAATAAATCAATTAAATCACGACGTTTCGGAGGCAACACAAACTTCCTTCATCAGGTGTAAAAAGGCACAGCAAATTCACTGTAGTCTATAATTTATAATTACTTAATACTAATTATAAATTATATTGGACGTCTAAAGCGGTGCACGCTCACCCGGACGAGCGTCTCCGATGACCCCTCGCTCGGAGCGAGTCGTGCGACCCCAACCTGCGACCCTGGCCCGACTTGCAGCGCCCACGAGGCCTCCCCCGCGTGCTCGGCCCGGCCCGGTGCCGGCCACCACCACCCGCCCGCCTCGATCGGCGCTACTCGCGAACGGCACTTGGCCCAACAATCTGCTTCGGCTATACGGGGGATCTTTGTCTGTGTGTGCTCATCCCCCCCCTCCACCCCTGTCTCCTGTCCGTGACTCCTCGTGTCTTGTCGCTTCCTCGCGTCCCCTGTGCGCGCCCTCTCTCCCGTGCCTTGCCGTGCTTCCCCAATTCTTCCCGACGCGTCCCCGCGCCTCCCCTGTAACCCCCTCCCCTCCACGTCTCCTCCTCCTCCCCCCCTCCCTCTCCCCGTGTCTCCCGCAGCTCCCTCGCTTCATCGTCTCGCTGCTCACGAGCCCCGAGCGCCGCCTCGCCCTCGCCTCCCGCGAAGCTCGCGTCGCCCGCCGCAGGTCCCGCGTCTCCCGCCTCAGCGACTCCGAGCTCCCGGCCCTTGCCGAGTCCCAGCAGCAGCAGCAGCCGCAGCCGTGGGGACCTCGAGTGGAGGGGGCCGAGGGGTCCCCGCGCCGGAGGGGGTCCTACGACTCCCCGACGCGCATGCTCATGCGCTCCTCCCGCGACTGACTCCCAGCTGGGTCCGGTCTCCTCGCCTCCACCGCTCGACCTCTGACCTTTCGCCTGCCTCTCCCGTCGATCGTGCTCTCCCTGGCCGAGTCGTCTCCTTCCTGGGCGAACTCGCTCCGTCTCCGCCTGCCCGACCCCGCCTTGTACCTCTCCCGCCCACTCTCCCGCCTCTCGACGACGATCTCCTCCCGTCTATACTCTCCCCTCTCGCGCTTCCCATCGTCGTCGTCTCTGTCGCGTATCCCCTTTCCGCTCTCCTGCTTCTCCTCCCCTCTCGCCTACATCGCATCCTTCTCTCCCCACCACGATCCGTCTCCAATACCTCAACCCGCCTCGTCTTCCTCACATCTCCCCTCCTCTCCCTTGCCCATCTCTTCCTCGGTCTCCCATCTTCCCCCTTCCTATCCACCCAACATCTCCTCCCCTCCCTCCGATCTGCTCTCCCCACCCTCCTGGCTGTTCTCCGCTCTGCCCTATCTCCTGTCCCCACTCTCTCGGCTCTCCCTCCTCTCCGCGCTCTCTCCCGGGAGCCGAAGCCAGTCCCCTGCACTCCGCGAGGTGGCTCTGCGCTGCGTGGGAGGCGATATAATCACCTACACTTACCACGCGTAGTCACAGACAGCCGGAGGTGGTCAGTCACGTGCACCGTCGCTTAATATTACAACGGTCACGTGCAGGAGGTGGCCATAGTTTGGGGGGAGGTGATCGGGCCCAGCGGCAGCGCGTTCGCCGCTTCCTGCAGCGGTTCGCGGCTCGAAGCGGCTGGCCGCACTGGTTAACACTGCGGTTGTTTTAACGGCAAGATGCAACTTCTGCTACTAATGCGACGACGCGCCTGTCTCCTTCGCAGTGGACGTTAACGATCGCGTGGCGGCCACTCGACTAGCGCAGGCCATTGTGTGCCGGCGTCACGGTCCGAATTCTAAAGATGACACCGCAAACATAACCCAAATTGGGATCACACAAACAGCAGCAGCAGCAACATCGCCGCTACCGTGAAACTAACGCAGCGTCGTCGTAGCCTTGCGCTGTAGGAGCGCCAGCGCCCGGCGGCACGCGGACTCGACTCCAGTCACGCGCGCTCCGTTACGCATCGACGATGACACGCTCGCCATGGGATGTGGACCTCTGCGCCGTGAACTAATAATCGATTAATTCGCCATCGATCCGAGGTTCGAATCCCTCACCAATGAACGCTTTCTGTGAATGCAAATTTAATTCTGCCGATTCAGCTTTTTCTGCACTCGGTAGCCACCGAGTTGAGATTATTTTCAGCCTAATTCAATAATCACCACAATCTCGCACGTGTCTATTACACGCTTGTTGCTGGCCGCTCTGCGTGTCGGGCCTTCGGGCGCTGTGGCTCAGCATGATTCAGTAAACCTCCTCGACTTACCAGCCGTGGGAATGGCCTCGATGAGTCTCAAGACGTCTTTGTGCAGGAGGGCCATGCCAAGAAATCCACGAGTTTGGCTTCGTGTGGGGGTGGGGGGAACCCGCCAATCGTAAACTAGGGGTAACTTCAAACTCCACACAGATAGATTCAATGATCCACGACGAGGACATCTGGCACGCGCGATACGAGAGTCGCAAATGCGCGCTGTGATCGGAGAGGAATTTGACGAACTCGAGACGTCTCCAGCGCGAGTTGTGTGTTGGTGCGCGGCGGAAGGCAACAGGGCGATGACATCATCACGGATGATGATGGCGGGTGAGGATGATGATGGAGGGGGAGGATGAAGATGATTTCATCAGAAACTGCACGTGTCGTGGAGCAGGGTGGGATTATGATGGGGATCGTAGTGATGCTGATGACTCATTAAAGCGATGATTATTATGACAAGGAGCGGGTGGAATTTTTCGTTCGGGATGCGATACGGGTGGGATGATGTTGTTGGCAATGATGATAATGTTGATGTACCTCGTATTGTCAGCATGCTCAAGTGCATGACAACCCATTCAATCATTGCGAGTTAAACGTGGTTGCCACCTATGTGCTATGATGGTGGACACGCCACATTATTATGGCGTGGATCAGGATATCCACAGGAAAAAAAAACACCACCACCGATTTCTCAAAGTGGCGCTACCCACATTCATGTCAGCGATTTACGCCAATTTCATCCCCGCCGTGCCACCAGCGACCCCGCACGGACCAGACGGAGAAGCCATTCAGAAAGAATTGCGCCACCCGCGGAGGAGGGCATCTGAATTGCTTCAGATCACCTCCGATCCACACGAGCGACGCTGCATTTCCCCGTGCGCTCTGCTACCGAGATCAATGTCACGTCGATATGACCAAGCTACAGTCTACATTAGACTGCCAGTACACTCACTGAGCTTGATAACCATTGCTACAGCCTACATTACAGACTGTCAGTACACTCACCCAGCTTAACCATTGCTAGTCTACATTATAGACTGCCAATACACTCACCAAACTTAATAACCAGGCTACAGTCTACATTATAGACTGCTAGTACACTCACTCAGATTAAGAACCAGGCTACAGTCTACATTATAGACTGCTAGTACACTCACTCAGATTAAGAACCAGGCTACAATCTACATTAGTGTTTTTTTATTATTTGTATTCACTTGATTTATTTTCAATCTCCGTGACTTTACTGAAAGAACCAGAGAACTTGACCAGTCGGATCGTCATCAGCCACGTGGCTAAGGCTCTGTGACGTCACCCAGTGTCGCCTCGTCGCGGGAGATGGGCAACCTTCACGCGGCCCCACTCCGTCGTGAAAGTGATAAAATCACGACGAATGGCATCAAAGCGGCGACCGAACATCGACCGTCGAGCTCGGCCGTCTCCAGAGCGACGCCGCCGCGTTGGAGTGATGCAGCCTCGTGGCCAAAGGCTGGAACGGTGCCGTGACAAAGACGTTCTCGACCCCCTCTCCGCCCGTGGGGGTAGAAGCGCGCGACTGTGTGCAGTGTAGTGTGTGTAGTGTGTGTGCAGTGTGTGTGCGCAGTGTGTTTAGTGTGTGTGCAGTGTGTGCGCAGTGTGTGTAGTGCGCAGTGTGTAGTGTGCAGTGTGTGTGCAGTGTGTGTGCAGTGTGTATAGTTTGTGCAGTGTGTATAGTGTGTGTGCAGTGTGTGTGCAGTGTGTACGCGCAGTGTGTGTAGTGTGCAGTGTGTATAGTGTGTGCAGTGTGTATAGTGTGTATAGTGTGTGCAGTGTGTGTGCAGTGTGCGTGCAAGGGAGTCGTCCTCCGTTCTTGCGACCCGCCAAACAGGGCGGATGCGTCTCGAGCGGACGATGTCATCGATGGGCAGGGAAACCGGGCTATCACCACATCGATATTGGACTTTCTTCAGAATATCAGATATCACACGGGGCAGGCAATAGCACAGCAATATCACACAAAAGCCAATTCGTTGAGCTATCATTTGTGGTCAGGTCACGTCTGAAAAAGCGCTACATACCGCAGTGGGCCTTACCTGGTAAAACTAAAATAGCTTCGTTTTTAGTTTTAGTTTAGTTTGCAATCACGGATCGCGGAGCGGCCAAGTCCTCAGTGGTGCCGGATCAACGACCTGACCTCCGAGCCACCCGAACCATCTCCTCTACCCAGAGCAAGGCCGTAGCCATGGAGTCAACATTGGGGGGGACCAAATCTTCCAGGGGGTCTGGGGGTCCCCCCCCAGAAACATAATAATCTAAATTTGAAAACTAATTTCCTGCCATTTCCTGCCTAAAACATAAAAAATCACTAACACATGGGATGGACTTTTCCTTTATTTTTTCAATAATGTCTAATAGTGTATTGTATTACATTGCTCTGCTTTTTCCTTTTTTACCTTTTCTTGTTTCATTGTATGTAATGGCAGAGATTAGGGATCAATAAAATACAACCATAACCACAATCACATAAACATAAATTTAATTTATAGCAATATATTGGGGGGGGGGGACATTTTGAGCATATTAGAATATTGGGGGGGATATTGGGGGGGGGGGATGCGTGTCCCCCCCCCCCCAATATATAATAATAATTACGGCCTTGACCCAGTGTTGTATCCGGCACCACAGTGATGACGAATCATCTTACACGTGCGTGTTTTTTCCCCACGTGTGCAATTTGAATTTTTATTTCTTTGCTTTTGACGCGCGGCGCAAATGATCTCAGCACGCAACGCGACACCGAAAGACTTAACATAAACATCAAACAAAACGAGAACACAACAACAGAACGACAATCATCGCGGTGACCAGTTTCCAGGGTCCACCCAGGCACATCGCAGTCCACCCCCCCTCCCCGCAAAGACAAAGATCCCCTGTATAGCCTTAACAGACTGTTGGGACAAGTGCTGTTAGCGAGCACCACCTTTGTCTCCCCAGTGACGATGTTTGCACACCGCACCAGGTACTCATTTGAGGCTGAGTCGACCTTGGAGAGGCCCAAGACCAGTGCAGATAATCGTCACCGGTGTTGGCCGTGAGCGGGAATCGAATTCGTGTCGACGGGTTTGTAGTGCAGCGCGCTAACCGCTGCACCACCGCTCCCCCCTCCCCCCCCCCAACACGGCACGGACAAAATTGGAGAAACAAAAGTGAGACAACAGTTGGTGGGAACGACTGCGGGAACAATGGAACTGAGCGCAATGAGAATAACGGGACAATGGAGTCACCACGAGAACAACGGGGCAGACAGAAGCACAAGAACATAAGAGAAGATCAGTACCGTAACAAGGGAATCGGGGACAGAGGAGATAACGACAATGGAGATGGTAGGAACAATAAGACTGACAACAATGGGACAAAGAACAAAAACAGCAGGAACAATGGGAAAACTCAGAACAATGAAAACAAAGGGGCCAGGAACGATGGGGCAATTTGGGACAAATAGGAAGAGAAAGAGAGGGAAATAAGAATACCACCTCGGGGATTGACACAGGTGGGAGAGGAGATGCCGTGGGCGAAGGCTCGCCACGCGTGGGGTTCACAGAGAGGACTCGACTCCGAGTCTCGCCATGGGAGAAGAATCCCATTGAGCAGCCGTGTGGGGAGGAGGCCTCGAGACGCCCCAAGCTCACGGCTCCCATTGAGCAGACGGACCCAGGAAATACATTTCATGTATCAGAACATTCACACGGCAGTCACGATGACAATTACATCGTCGTCATTATCATCATCAGCGGCGGCAGCCCCACAATCAGCCACCAGGATAAATCCACTGCTGGATGAAGGCCTCCTCCACCCTAAGCCAGTTGCCGCTGCTTACCCTTCGTGGTGCAGTGATGGAGGAGTCAACATCCACCACTCGGATTGCGAAAACTCGATGCCGTGGGACATGATTACGAGGGACACGATTACGAGGCGGCGGCTGAGGATTTGGAGACGGTGAAACTCATCCGTCGAATTGAAAATCCACGTTGGAAGACTCGCTGGTGAATATCAAATATCACAGCTCCTCCCATCGAAGGAGACTCCAATTCAGGAGGCCCCATTAAGAAGGAGCGATAGGCAGGCGCTTCAGTGACAGAACGTCAACTAGAGATAAATTCATGACAAGTCTGCCGAGATGACAGCTTGAGTTTGCCCAGATGCGCCACGATGGTGAAATGTTAACTACTTCGCCTGGTATACAGGAGGTCGTGGGTTTTATCCCGACCCTGATACTTTTATATTTGGAGTTTGCGTGTCTCACTCTCCCTGTGGTCACGTGGATTTTTCTCCGGGTCCTCCGGTTTTTCCCTCCACATTTAGAATCAACATTACGCGTTTAGAGTATTTGGCTGCAATACATATCCACGCGATAAGCCACTTCGTTGGGCTATCATTTGTGGGTAGGTCGCTTCTGAAAAAGAGCTACTATATAGCTCAGCGATGGGCCTTACCTGGTAAAATAGCTTCGTAAATAGTTTTAATTGAGCAATGCAATCAGAGTGCCACCAAGAACCTCTCAAAGATGCCAATTGTTCTTGCCCTCTCCCGAGAGCATTCTCACGAGAGGTGCTCTCTGGAGCTGCCTCTTGTTGTCAGGTGGTCTCTTTCCAAAAGCGGCGGTGGCACGCACGGGCAAAGTAGATTGCAGGGACTCTTAAACCCGGCCCCCTCCTTCAAACCGAGCGGATTTCAAACGAAACGCCACCGGGCAAGGACACATCAATGAGGGAAAAACGGACGATTCGTTCAGAAGTCACACCGAGAAGAGTCGACGGCAATCGTCCCAAGGGCGAGAAGCGTAGGACGACGACGACGATCAGCAATCCGTTACATCCGCACCGCTGCCACCAATAATGACGACGACGACGAGAACCGACGCGTACATTCGCCACTCTTCACATGCACGGCGATAGAGCCGAATCAAAAATATAATTATCTTAGTCGTCATCGCCGGCATCATCAGCATCACGATCTCCCACCCTCCAAACATTTTGTACAGCTTTTTTGTCGCAATTCCTCCCAAAAATAGACACGTACACGCTCAAGCACACACCTCATACAGCAATGAGCAGTTGTATTTTCGTGTTCCTGCGAATTCTAACACTGGGTGATGCATCAAGCATCTTCTGCTGCTAATTGTTCCTCCTCCTTCAGGTCACCAATACCCTGGCCCCATCCCGCCACTAAGTGACGGTGCCGTGACCACAGTGCCTGTGTGCCAGGCCAGGTGCAACTTTGAGGCCACGTGAAAGTGTCGAAGGCTCGCCGACAGGTCATGGGACAGACAAAGATCCCCCGCACAGCCTTAACAGACTGTAGGGGCAAGTGCTGTTAGCGAGCACCTGTGAAGGCCAGAACGGCGTAAGAGGGGGTGGGTGGCTAGCACCACGCCCGACCGCCTTTGTCTCCCCAGTGGCGATATTTAAACACCGCACCAGGTACTCATTTGAGGCGGAGTCGACCTCGGGGTGGCCCAGGACCGGTTCAAATGATCGTCACTGGTGGTGTTGGCCATGAGCGGCAATCGAACTCGGGTGGCCGGGTTCGTAGTGCAGCGCGCTAACCGCTAAACTACTGCTCACCGGGCAGACACTCTCACACACACACACGCATATATTTGTTACACTTTAGATCTCTTATTAAAGTTACACACAATCCCAACATCGAGCGGCTCTTATCTTGTAGCTGCGCATTTCCCTCGAGCTCCCCCCGTGCCCAAGCAAGCGCTGCGATGCTTCAATTATGAAAGTCTCCACATGCCGGCCCATTATCCTTCCTCAAACACGACCGTTGCCTTCCTTCTGTCTCTGTCCACGTTATCACTCACAAAGCGCTGCAGCAAGTCCTCCCAGAAGCAGCTGCACGACTTCTCGTTGTACCTATTGCAACCTTCCCCGTGGAAAAAAAAATAAACTCATTACATTCATTCCCTCGTTCATTATTATTCATGAAACAAAGGCGATCCGCTGACGTCAGGGCTAGGTCACCCCCCCCCCCCCCCCCCCGGGAACACACGCAGGGCTCGTGCGCAGCTACAAGGCAGAAGGGCTCATCGCATTTCATGATTCGATTCATATTCTTTAAATAAATCACACTCGCTCCGATCGCACAGTCGAAGTGGGGGGGGGGGGGGGGGGGATGGGGGGAAATTGGCACCCATTGAATTTTAGTTTAAACATTCAAACGTTCCACCGCCAACATCGGCAACTTTCTCCGACCGTCGCCGGGGGGCTACGACCTACGCGCGAGGGGCAATGCAGTGGCTGTCCAGGGGGGGGGGGGGGGGGTTACACAGAGCCGGACGGCTGCTGTGGCGCTGACTGTAGGAGCGGTGAAGGACCGGGTTTCCTGGGGGGGGGGGGGGGGGTGGTTGAGTGAAGGGGGGCGACCCGGACCAAGTGAGGAGGAGGAGGATAGGCAACCGGCTCTCGCGAGTCACCTCACCCGGAGAATCCAACCGTGGCCCCCCAGAATTCGTGGGGGTCTCAGTTCCACCTCGCTGGAAAGTGCACCGTGCGAAGGCACCATTCGTTGTAGTCCAAAAAAGTTAATAAAATATATATATATACTGTCTTTATGCATATATATACTGTCGTAGGCGACGTAACACAGACTCGGATACAGTACTTGGTATGCTGTAGTTGTTCGCGTGCGCGTACGTACACGCGCAATGTTACATGTGTGCAAATGTGTGTGCGCGTGAATACACCTAAATAGGCGCTCGCTAACAGCACTTGCCCCAGCAGCCTGCTATCTGAAGGCTATACGGGGAATATTTTGTCTTTGGACATGTACACGCACATGCAGTGTTATGTGTGTACGTATACACATGTACACACACTCTTAACACTGCGAGTGTGTGCACATACACACACGCGCACAGTGTTACGAGTGTGCATATGTGCCCATGTAGACACACACATGCAGTGTTACGCGTACACACACAGCATTGCGAGTGTGTGCACATTTGCACATACATACACATGCGCGCAGTGTTCAGAGCGTGTGTGTGTTGGCGTGCACGTGGCAGCAGGACGCGCGCGCTCTAGGTAGTAGTTTCATCAGGCAAATGCAGAAGCTTCTCTTGTGACACAAGTCTCTCTCGCAAGGCCGACCTCGTACAGTACACACGTCAAACGAGTGTCAGGTTGGCTCGAAACACAGAGTCATCGAAATAATAACTTAAAGCCCTTTGTTTATCCACTGCTGGTTGAATGCCGACCAACCCCCACCCCCCCATCATGCTGCCGCCACCTCTTGCGATGGTGTCGCGATGGCAGACCGTGCAAGACGACAGCACTTCACCACGCGGGTCAGTGCCGGTTTGTGAAGGTTGTCAAGATGGGGGTGGGGGGTGGTGGAGGACCGACGGTTCGAGCGGTGCTTGCTGCGGAGGTTGGCAGTTCGGCTTCAGTGGGCCACCCTGGCTATTACCGCGGTCGAGTTAATAATGACGGCGGGCGTTCGTTCTGGATACACCCCCCCCCCCAACGATGCCAAATTTGCCAAAATTCACACCGCTGCCAACACCCCACCTGCCCCTACAGTGAGAACGTGGACAGGAACCCGCTGAAAAAGAGTCATGAGACTCGGTGACGCTTTCCTCTGTAAACAAAATAATAAAGTAATTGGCGCCGCCCGATTGGTTAATCGTGATTGAGCCAGCCGTGATGGTGGTGGTGAGCTTCTCTGTGGGGTGAGAGGTGAGGGGAGCAGCAGGGGGGGGGTCGGTCGGTGGGGGGGGAGCCGAGCGAGGAGGTACCGGCACCACTCATCGATGCCCACACACCCTGTTCCCCCCCCCCACTTCCTTCCCTTCTACTCACTCCTCCTCCCCCTCAAGCCCCACCCTGGCTTGGCACGGACCACCCAACTGACCGCAAGAATCGGCGGAAACATTCTGCCAGCTCTCGAGGGCACGGCGAATACTTGCGATGACCGCGGGAGATAACGCAGTGTAAACCGGTTTAAGTCGAACTTACAGGAGATATCTCAACTGATGAGCCTAAAACCTTTGACACTTTTAACAGGGAAACGAAGGGAGCTGCCACGTTGGTGGTGTAATGGTCGGCAGCAATGCTGCGGCTCGCAACCCGGAAGTCGCCGGTCACATTCCACCTCCTGTGGCCTTGGCAGTCGAAAAGCAATGGCGTAAGTTTGATTTAAATCGGCCGTGCCCCGATACGGGCTGGGACGATGTCCGACGTTTCGCCTCCGGGCGCTGGGAGCCTCTTCTTCTTCTTCAGGGAGCGAAACGCTCAAGAAAGTGTGCGGAGCTTCGTGCCGAAATGGAGGGAGCCGCGCGGCACGACCCGCGAACTTATTTTCACGCTGCGGATTTCGCCCCGCGCGAAAGGGGGCCGAGTCGCCGGCCTGCCGCGTCGCCACCCCGTGACCGCTTCGATTGTTCTACAACCTCTTTTGTCTTTCGCGCGGAAACAAAACGGCGACACCGCGTTGGGAAAAGAAAAACGCCGCCCCTGGCGCACGCACGAAGGGGTTTGCGATAATGGCCGATGCGCAGGCGCTAATTACGCGGCTGCATCTGGCGAGATTGACAACAATACAGGGGAGACAAACACGTGTAAACGTGTCTTTTCTTAGTGTAGTGGGACAAAAATATAGTTTGTGAAGCTTGCTCAAGAGTTGTCGGTTAACGGGAATGGCTAAGGTTTGCCGGTGAATGGCAGAGATTTAAGACTCGGCGGTTTGAGAGCGTGGGAGTTTCCTCGCTTACATACTCGCATTAGCACACACGCATACAATCGATTAAACACCACCACTCAGCTCGATGTTACTTGCAGGGACATCCGCACATCAGGTCGCGATATCTCATCGGCGCACACCACCACCGCATCTCCGATAAGCACGGTTCACTACGTACAGTTCAACATACATACGTAGGTAAGTGGCTGGTGTTGATGCTGGCGCTGGTGGACACGTGGTTGTGTTTGTAGTGGTGGCCGTGTGGCTGACAGATTGGGGTTGATTGGTGGTGCTGTAGGTGAGGAGGAAGTGGTGGTGGTGGCGTGGCCGGTGGTCACTTGCTGGTGGCACGAGCAGGAGAGAGACGCTATCCGCGGGCGGTGGCTCGGCTACGAGGACTGGTCGTAGTCCGTGATGAGTTGCTTGATGTGCGCCAGCTTGGAGTGCAGGTACTCGCAGCGTCGCTTCTCTTGCTGGTAATCGGGGTTGGTCTGTGGTGAGAAAGAGCAAGATAGAGAGGGGTAAACGCATACCAAGACAAAGACCACCCCCCCCTGTGTAACCGACACAGAATGTCTAGTCAAGTGCTGTTAGCGAGCAGCCTCTACAAATGCCTGCACGGTGCACGAGTTGGTGTGGCCGTACCCGGTGTCTGGCCGCATTTGTCTCCCCACATACACACAAACCGACACGTGTGGGCAAGTATGACAATACCAATACCCGCCATTCGCCACTAAGTGACGGTGACGTCACCAGGGCGCCCGTGACGGGTCGGGCGCTCTGAGGCTACGTGACGCGTCGAAAGCTCGCTGACAGGAGGTCACGGGACTCACACAGGTGCCATGGGTTGACTGAGATGACTGGCAGATGCAACAGCTGTGCCCTCTACTCTGCCAACTACCTGTGTGCATGTATGCACACAGGCACATGTACAATGACAAATGCATACGCAAACAGACACACACGTACATGCGCAAGCACGCACGCATGCAAACCACCCGCTATGACTATGGATGGAAAAGCATGCCTGTCAACCCTTGATCAGTGCCTACCTTATTACAGACCAATTCAGACCTTATTGGTCACCCCGTGCCCTTAAAAATCTCAAAGTTAATCCTACAGAGTCCCATCACAAGGGGGAAACACAAACAAATAGACAAAATAAATGCCCGTTTTTAAACGGCTGTATGGACCTGAAAACTCAATTTCCCTCGACAAGAATACGGGCAAACAGTACGGGCTGACAGGTATGCTATAGTCGTCGCCGCACGGCATGCGCTCCTCGCTCTCGTAGGGGGAGAGAGAGAGGGGGCAACTAGGAGACAAAGAGATCGACTCAGAGGCACAAGGAGGAGGAACCAGAGACGAGCGGGAAGGCAGCGGCAGCGGCCACGCAGTGACAGGCTGGCACTCCCAGAAATTGCTCCGAGCTCTGCTCTCCTCTATATATTACGGTGTTATCGGCCAATTAAAGAACGCCTACATGTGGGTGAAACAGGAGCGCCCGGAGAAAACCCACACATGCGTGCAAGGGGGAAACACTTGATCCCACGCAGACGCGACAGTTGGGAGTCCACATCTTTTGGCTGTAGCGCCTTCTACTGGCGAGGCTGAGTTACGGCTCCTCCTGGACGCTCGTGAGAGCGAGCGAGAGGGAGTCTTACAGCGCCTGCTGCGCGATCCGCCAAGCCCAGTGGGCGCAGGCACAGCGGTGCTCCCGCCACGAGGGCGACGACTCACCTTCTTCACTTTGCTGTACTCCTGCACCACCTGCTTCCGGATGACCTGGGGGGGGACAGAGCAAAGATCGCATCACCGCCGCAGGCGCTGGGTCCACCTCCTCTCCCCCCCCACACCCCCGTTTCCTCCCCCGTCATCCACGCACTGCGGGGTCGTCGGTTTAGGCGAAGTGCTCGGTGAGCTGCGGAGATCACAGCTCGTGAGAGAGACGGGTTCGGACCCCCGCTCTCTTACCTGATGCTCTCCCTGTCCTCTCCCCTCTCTAAAACCCAGTGCTCCCTCACCCCACACACTCTCTCCTGTCTCACTCCTTCCCCCACCACTCGCCCCCCACCACGCGCCCCCCACCACGCGCCCCCGACCACTCGCCCCCCACCACTCTTCCCTCTCCCTCACCGATGTCCCTCCTGTCTCGTTCCCTTCTCCTCCCCCTCTTCCTCCTCTCCCCTCCCCCCCCACCTGCTGCTCCCTCGAGTCCGGGGCGAGGGCGTGCATCTTGTGCTGCAGCTGCTCGAAGCGCCGCTTCACGGTGTCGATGCGCCGGTGCAGCCGCCGGTACTCGGAGAACTCGCTGCTGAAGTCGGCCTTGTAGCGCTCCCTCTGCTCCGGCGTCACGATCGGCACGTAATCCCTGCGAGCGAGCACGCCGCCGGTGAGCGCCGTCGTCGGCGAGTACTCGGGAGCGGCGGGCGCTCTCGCGGCGAGCGAGCACGATGCTAGCGAGCGTGCACCTCTTGCGGTGAGTACACGCGTGCTAAGTACACGCGTGGCAAGTACACGCGTGGCGAGTACACGCGTGTTGAGTACTCTCATGTTGAGTACACGTGTGGTGAGTACACGTGTGGTGCTCTAGTGATTAGTACTCACAGTTTGTAGTCCGGGTTGCTCGCCGCGCTAGAGGCACGTTCTGGTATCAGCTCCGGTTTGTCTGCTGGCGGTGAGGAGAGGTTGCAGGGGACGAGGGGAGGGGCAGGCCGATGGGGTGGGGGCGGCGGGGAGGAGGAAGGGGGGGGGGACCGTAAGGGCGACACGAAGAGAAAAGTGAAACTATGGGCAGGCAGCACGAGCGTGTAAATGAATCACGTCTTCTGGACATCTGTGAAAAAGAGCTTTCAAGCTCCTCGGATTCCTCCAGTGTCAATAACGATTTAGACTTATAATCTGCAGCCCCTTCCAAGCCCACTGCTGGATGAAGGCCTCCCCATAGATCACCGTTGCTCTACCATGCCGCTCAGGGCAGATGAGCGAGTGACTGACTGCGGCTCGCATAACGCACTGAAACAGGTGGACTTCTCCACAAATCTGGCTGTCGCCTGATGATGCTAGTTGTAATTTCAGGCGAAACGTCGTACTCAGATTGTAAATGTTGTGGCTTAGCTCTCCAACACATCGGTGTGCTGCACTAGTGATGAATTGGCATGTTCTGTTTACATGACAACCCTTACTATTTGGCTGTGTTGGGTGGTGGCGGGTTTAACGGCACATTTATATATTTACGCGATCTCATCCTATAAACCTGTATTAGGGACCACAACAGATTCGGATGTCGTTCACCAACGATGTCAGCCTTTGCCGGGAATGGAACTCGGGTCGCCGAGTTCAAGGCGCAGCTGCGCTACCACTCCACCTCACCGCAAATCTACCCCCACGGATTGTTTCTTAAAGACATGACAAAAATCCCCAGTATAGCCGAAACAGACTTTTGTGGCAAGTGCTGTTAGTGAGCGCCTATGAAGGCCGGCATGGCACACGAAAGGGTGGGTGGCCAGCACCACGCCCAGATCCCTGTGTCTCCCTCGTGGCCATGTTTACACACCACACCAGCTACTCATTTGAAGCGACCTAGGGGAGGCCCAGGACCGGTTCAGATAATCCTCACCGGTGTTGGCAGTAAGGGGCAATCGAACTCGGGTGACCAGGTTCGTAGCGCGCTACCGCTCCCCACACACACTCACACACGACGACGTGTGCGCGTGCGTGTGAGAGTCCGAGAGAACCTTGGGACAGTGACGCCCGCGTTGATAAACGAACCAGAGGGAAGAAGGAATGCTCATTGCCAAATCTCCGAGCGACGATGCCAATTGCTCCATTCCCAACGGTCCGTCAGTCAATTGTGCAAGCGTCGATTACTCAACTGTGCACGCGGCCGACACGCGCACGTCCATACCCGTGCTGAACACACGCAGATCCTCCCACTCGACGGTTACAGAACGCCGGGGGGGGGGGGGGAATGTTGCCATTTGATGAGCAGCTACGAAGGCCGGCACGGCGGCGAACCGACGATTGGGGGGGGGGGGGGGTGTGGGCAATGCCACTGCGCCATCGGCCGCCTTTGTCTTGTCAAGTGCCAATGTTTACACACCGCACCGGATGTTGTTGTTTCAGGTGGAGTTGACTGGTTCAGATATACATTGTGGGACTCACGTTAAGCCGTGGCCAGGAATCAAACTCAGGTTGACGGCTGCACTGGGTAATGTGTGCCCACCGTTGCAAAATGGCTTCTGATGTACCTGGCTGAGAGCGCGATTCCCCTTCAGAAACCCCTCCCGCCGTGTCAGAGAACGGCCCCGTAGAAGCGAATTTCACAGAGCTACTTCTGAGGTGCCTTCTTCAAGTGGGACCATGCGGTCGTTGGCAAGGCAGCGCTTTCTCCGCCGCGACATTTTAAACAATTCCAAGCCGAAATCTTTGGCAAATTAAACATAGAATCCAATTAGCAGTGCTGTGCAGTCACTGGGTAACCAGGCGGTGACCAGGCAGAGACCGTTAATGCACAACACTTGTGTACCCCGGGTTAATCACAAAATCATCATGGGTGTCTTTGTGGAGAATAAAGGTAATGAAATAACTTTGGACGGTAAGGACACATTTTCCTTCACATGACCGTCCCTCCATGCCTCCCATCAGCCACAAAGCTGGCTACGTATGTGTTTTTTTCAGCAGCATTGGTTTAACGCAAGTGTGGACGCTGGACTGGTTCGACATTCGACGTCTCACCAGCAGAATCAGGCTTCATTCAACCAACGCTGGCGACCGGCAGTTCTTTACAAGCCATAGGCCCTCTCTGTGTTGGCTTGCGCGGGCACACAAAGACAAAGATCCCTCCGAGAGCCTTAACGGACTATTGGGGCAAGTGCTGTTCTCGAGCACCTATGAAGGCTGGCACGGCACACGAGCGGGGTGGGTGGCCAGCACCACACACACACACTACACCGCGTGCACACACACACGCACACTCACACTACACCGCGTGCACACACACACGCACACTCACACTACACCGCGTGCACACACACACGCACACTCACACTACACCGCGTGCACACACCTTCTCTGGCGTCCATTTTGAACTTCTTGTACTGCATCTCTTCCTCAGACACTCCTTGCGAATCCACTTCCATCTCCTCTGCAGGCTCCGTCACGGCTTTTGAGTTTTCTTGCTCCCTCCTCTTTTCCATCTCCTCCTGCCTCTCTCGCTCTCTCTGTTTGTCTCTCTCCTCCTGCCTCTCCCGCTCTTGCTGCTTGTCTCTCTCCTCCTGCCTCTCCCTCTCTTGCTGCTTGTCTCTCTCCGCCTGCCTCTCCCTCTCTTGCTGCTTGTCTCTCTCCGCCTGCCTCTCCCTCTCTTGCTGCTTGTCTCTCTCCGCCTGCCTCTCCCTCTCCTGCTGCTTGTCTCTCTCCGCCTGCCTCTCCCTATCCCTCTCTCTCTGCTTGTCTCTCTCCGCCTGCCTCTCCCTCTCTCGCTGCTTGTCTCTCTCCTCCTGCCTCTCCCTCTCTTGCTGTTTGTTTTTCTCCTCCTGCCTCGCCCTCTCCCGGTCCCTCTCCCTCTGTTTGTCTCTCTCCAAGTCGCGGAGTCTCTGCCGCTGCCTCTCTTGATCCCTATCTCTCTGTCTCTCCCTGTTCCGTTCTCTCTCCCGGTCACTCTCCCTCTGTGCCTCTCTATCTTTCTGTGTTTCTCCCTTCCCTCTGTGCCACGGTTTCCCTCTGTGTCTCCTGGTCTCGATTTGTCTCTATGTTTCTCTGTGTTTCCACGTCTTTACTTGTCTCCCTCTCTCTCTGGGTCTCCGTGACCCTCTTTGTCAGCAGCTCCTTGTCTCTCTGCGCCGCCCTCATCATCTGCATTTCTTTTTCGATCTGCGCATCCTTGTCCCTTTGCACCTCTTTGTCCCTCTGCATATCCCTGTGTCCCTGTGTCTCTCTGTCTCTCTGCATCCCCCTGTCCCTCTGCATGCCCCTGTCCATCTGCATCCCTGTGTCCATCTGCCTCTCTCTGCCCCTCTGCGTGATCCTATCCTCCGATGTCCCCGCGTCTCCCTGCTTCATCCCCGCGTCTCCCTGCGTCGTCGCCGCGCCCCCCGGCATCTCCTTGCCCGCTGGCGTCTCCCTCTCCCGCTCCTTCTCCCTGCGCTTCTTCATCTTCCTCCGCGCAGTGTCGGGCACGGGCTGGCACGGTGGCGCCGCCGCCACCGCCACCGCCGCCGCCGCCGCCACTCCCTCGTCCTTCTCCCGCCGCGGCGGTTCCGGGCGATCGCAGGGGGTGGGAGGAACGCGGCTCGTCAGATGGGACACGCGCGGCTTCTTGGTGCCGTTCTGCGACATTTTCTGCTGCTGCTGCCCCCCCAACGACGGCTCCGCGTCCTCCTCGGCGGAGGCGTTTGGTCGTTTCTGCGGCAGCAGCAGACGAAGCACCCGGGTAGAGTGACAAGTGACGTGACCATCTGAGTAGTGTGAGAGGTGATGTGACTATCCGAGCAGTGACAGGTGAAGTGATACCTGTGTAGAGTGACAGGTGACGTGACTATCCGAGCAGTGACAGGTGAAGTGATACCTGTGTAGAGTGAGAGGTGACGTGACTATCCGAGCAGTGACAGGTGAAGTGATACCTGTGTAGAGTGACAGGTGCCACCGTGATTACCTGGGCTGTGTGGTTGGGTGGTCGGCTGGCCTCCGCGGCAGGACTAAGCCGAGGTTGCGGTGCATTGTGGGATAGGCCTAAGGGGGGCGGATGCTGCTGCGTCCCTCTCCTGTGCAGACACGACACGACACACAGGGCAGGCTGGGTCACGGCGGGGCCAAGCGGAGACGCAGGGGTCACGGTGGTGGAAGCAACGGCGACGGAAAGACCTTCCATCCTTACGTGGAACATCCAAGTCGGCGTTCAGTTCATTGCTTGTGCTAGGCCTCAGGTCATGAGATTAGGGTTTGGCCTGGGTCAGGGTTAAGACTAGGGTTATGTTTTGGTTTTGGGTGATGATTAGGGTTAGGATCAGGGTTCGGGCTATGTGTGTGACTCGGGTTGTGTGTAGGGCTGGGTGTAGGGCTAGGGTTCTGTGTAGGTCTAAGGTTATGTGTCGGACTAGGGTTGTGTGTAGGGTTGTGCGTTGGGCTAGGCTTTTGTGCAGGACCAGGGTTAGGTGTAGGCCTAGGGTTGTGTGTAGGGTTGTGTGTAGGACTATGGTAGTGTGTAGGGTTGTGTGTAGGGTTGTGTGTATGACTATGGTAGTGTGTAGGGTTGTGTGTAAGGCTAGGGTTGTGTGTAGGACTATGGTAGTGTAGGGCTGTGTGCAGGGCTATGGTTACGTGTAGGCTTGTGTATAGGGCTAGGATTGTGTGTAGGACTAGGGTTATGTCTAGGGCAGATGTTGTGTGTAGGACAATGGAAGTGTGTAGGCTTTTGTGCAGGACCAGGGTTATGTGTAGCGTTGTGTAGGACTACGGTAGTGTGTAAGGCTTTGGTTGTGTGTAGGACTAGGGCTGTATGTCGGGCTAAGGTTGTGTGTGTAGGCTTCTATGCAGGACCAGGGTTATGTGTAGGATTACGTTTATGACTGGGGTCGTGTGGTGCAAGGTTTGGAGGGCCGGCCTGACCGAGAGAGCAGGGCCTGCACGGCGCGTCGCTCCTCCGGCGAGTAACCCGGCCAGTCCGGCCGCACCTCCGCATAGGCCGCCTCCTTCAGTTGCTGCCGGCCATCCTGGCCCCTTGGTGCCGCCACCTCCACGGGCAGCCGGCAGAGGGGGTTCATGGAGGCGGGGTGGTGGGGGAGAAAGGGGCAGCGGGGTGGTGGGTGGGGTGTAGCAGACCACACCATTAGCACAGCAGTGACAAACTAGAAACAGGACGGAGGGGTTTAAAAACCCACCTGCTCTCCCGCAGTCTCATGGCAACCAACGCATTTAATCCAGTGGCTTTGGGAGCTTCACAAAATCTGCACGTCATCCACCAACCCCTGCCTCCAAGGTGTTTTTTTTGCCACCACTGTGCCCGGTTCACAATTGCCTGGCGAAGGTGGCCACGCTGGCCAGCTGGAACCCATTGCCCAAGAAAATTTGGGGGGAAAAAAAACGTGATATATAGTATGGAGTTTGAGAAAATATAGGAAGTGGGCCTATAAGACTTGCGTGTATGCAAAAATATTTGCCCGTGGGCGACACTGCCCGTGGTGGATACGAGTAGCATTCTCCACCAGCAGTGGCAGTGGGAGGCTCCTCTTGGCTCACGAGCGAGTGTCGTCATATTCTAGTGCCAGATGTTTTTATGAAACGGGCAAAAACAACTTCTCAAAACACCGCCTCACCTGCTCCAGGATAGCGAACACTTGCGAACGGTCACACTGCCCACCACCACCAACGCCACCAGCGTCCCTCTCTAGCCGTGCCACCAGCTCGGCTTTTTTGCAGGGCCGCAGCGCCAGGAAGTGCACCACACGCTCGCGCATGGGGCGCCGCAGGGCCTCCGCAGGGCCCGAGGAGGCGGCGGCGGCGGCCGCAGGGGACGCCGGACGGAGCGCAGCGGCGGTTGTGGCGGCGGCAGCGCTGTTAGTGCCGGCGGCCGGGGCCTTGCGCAGGGTGTTAGCTGGGTTGAGTGGCGCCGATCGCTTGCGCCCTGGGGCGAGGTCCATCAACTCGGGCGGCAACCTCCGAACGGTTCTCTTGCCTGGGGTGGTGGCGGCGGCAGGGAGGGAGGAGGGCGAGGGGTGGCGGTAACGGTGAGATGGTTGGAGTAGAAAAAACACGGCTGTTGTGAAGGGCCCCTTAATCGCGTGGGCCCTCCACCACCGACTTTCCGGGTGAATGAGAGGATCAGTGAGTGGGTGAGCGAGTGGGTGAGCGAGTGAGTGGGTGGGCGAGTGAATAAGTGGGCGAGTGAGTGAGCGAGTGAATAAGTGAGTGAGTGAGTGAATGAGTGGGTGGGTGAATGAGTGGGTGGTTAAATGTGTGTGAATAATTGTGTTCTTGATTGGGTGAGTGGGTGAATGAGTGGGTGTGTGTGTGTGAATGGCGAGTCTTCAAACACTTGTGCACCGCGTTACAATAAAATTTGTTTGGCTGCGTCGGGGTGTTCAAGTCAATTAAATACGCGGCCTAACATAAAAAAATTATAATCCATTGTGAATCTTAATACCGGTTGCGAAAAACCACCTACTCGTCAAGTCAACGGCGGTCATTTCCCTTTCGTCGTCGTTAGGAGTAATTCCTCTGCGGCCGTGAAATAAAGGCGGTAAAAAAAACGAACACGAGAGGACCGTGTCAGCCAAGTGACGCGCAGCCTGGGAACAAATAATTGCCTCCCCGGGGGAGGACGCGGCGTGCCAGCGTTAACGAGCGAGGATCCGTTACAACACCAGAGCTCGACCTTTGGCCCCCCCCGCTCTTAATTCGTGTCGCGGGGGTTTAAATTTGGGGCGTAATCGTTGGTCACGCGTCGGACGATGCTCGGGAACGCCGCGAGACGCCTGCGGAAACGTGCCCCGTCGCGCTCCCAGGCAATTGCTCAAATATTTTCAGGGCAGACGGCGATCCGTCAACGATGCGGAGAGGCGCCCGCCGCCGCTGCCGCTCACACTAATCCCTCGTGCGAGACACCGGACGAGAGCTGGGCGTGGTGGCGCGCACGTTCGCGTGTGTGGTGGCGTGGTAGTAATGGTGTGTGGTGGTGTGCGTGTAAAGTTGTGGCATGTTGGCGTTGTGGTGGCGTAGCGGTTAGCGCGACCTGGGTTCGATTCCCGCTCACGGTCGACGCCAGTGACAATTATCTGAACCGATCTTGGGCCCTCCTAGATCGACTCAGCCTCAAATGAGTACCGGTGTGGTGTGGGGTGACAAGGGCGATTGGGCATGGTCTTAGCCACACACCCCCTCGTGTGCTGCGCCGGCCTTCATAGGTGCTCGCTAACAGCAGTTGCCCAATAGCCTGTTAAGGGTATATGTGGGATCTTTGTCTTTGTTCCAGACATGCGTGGTGGTGAGGGTGGTGTCTGTTGTGTGGAGAGTGGAAGTGTAGTGGTTAGTCGTCCTCTCTGATAGCGAGTGAGTACTGTGCGGCAGTGGCGCGTTCCAAGTTGAAACTATGCCCATTATCACCGTTGTGATAATGTAGAGTAGAGATGTACGCAGTGCACGCAGTTGAGCGGGTGCAATTGAGGATGAGCAGGTGTGCGCGCTGGGGCAGGAGGTTGGCGCCGGGGAGACGGGAGATGGGGGCAATGATTAGGGATGAAAGAGTGCGAGAGGTACATGAGGACTCGGAATAAGGAGGGGTATATAAGCGGGAGTGTGCGTGAGCAAAGGGAGTTGTTCGGGGACCAAGAGAGAAGACATCGCCGCTGCTGCTCAAACCGTCAACGGGACCGCGCCCCGCACGCCGTCGCCGGGCGGGTGTTGGCCGAAGCCCCCGCCCGGGACAGACGGGTGAGTGGGTACGGGGCAGCGTAGGAGAGGGCAGCGGCGAGATAGGAGAGAGTCGGTGAGGTGCAGAGTAGGTGAGATGCAGAGTAGGTGAGAGCGGGTAGTAGGAGAAGCAGAGTGTGTGGTGACAGTGGAAGGCAGTCATAGGAGTGCCTACAACGGGTGCGAGAATAGGATTAATAAAGTGTAAGCAGGTGACCTATTACTCCGTGTGCGAGTAATTTCAAGAAATATAAAAGTTGCAAGTTGAAAAATTAAAACCTCACTATGAGGGCGTTATTATAGCAAGACGCAAATTGGCCTACAAGGTGGCCTGGAGATGGCAGGACAGTCAGAAAGTTGCAAGTGGGGAGCACAGGTGGTGCATCTGCCAGTCATCTCAGTTAGTCAACCCATGGCACGTGAGTCTGCCATATTACCTCGTGCCAGGAGCAAGTCTTTGACACTTCACGTGGCCTCAAAGTGCATCTAGCCTGGCACAAGCACTATTGGCGATGTCATCCCTACTTGGGCATGGTGCTGGCTACCCACCCCCTCGTGTGCGGTGCCAGTCTTCATAGGTGCACTTGCCCCAACAGCCTGTTAAGGCTATACGGGGGATTTTTGTCTTTGCATGCGTCTAGGTTGACAACACTGGGGAGACAGACGTGACCAGACAAGGTGCTGGCCACCCTTCCCAGTCACCGGTGCGCCTCGCTAACAGTCGGTGAAGGCTACGCGGGGGACCTTTGCCCTTTGTGTGGTGCAGCATCACCGTTGAAGGGGCCGCCGGGTTTGATGACGATGGCGCCGCGGCTGCGCGTCTCCTCCTCGGCCTGCGCCATGCGCTCGCGCGTCGTCTGGTACGAGTCGTCCGTGGCGCAGATCGTCAGCTTCTCCTGCACGGTGCCCACGCAGTCCAGCCGCGGCACGCCCAGCCTGCACACGCGCACACAGGCGAAGAAACCGCCCCCCCAGGTAGCCTTTAACAGACCGTTGGAGCAAGTGCCGTTAGCGAGCGGCAGTGCATGTGAAGGGTGGCACGGTGTGCTAGGGGGTGGGTGGTCGGCACTGCCGCCACGACCGGCTGCCTGTTTTTCTGCCCAGTGCTGAAGTTTACACATTTAAGGCTGCATCGACCTAGGGGAGACCCTGGACCGGTTCTGATATTCTCATCACTGCATCACTGGTGTTGGCCACGAGCGGAAATCGAACTCGGGTAACCGGGTTCGTAGTGCGCAAACTAAATCGCCACCACCCTGCCCCCATACAAACACACACAGGTATACATACACGCATACACAGGTGCTAATGCCCACGCACGCACAGGCTGTAACACATACATGCCCACACGGGTACACTCACACTCACACAAGGTTATAAAGATAGGAGCAGGTACTAACAAGCACACAGGGGTATAAACACATGCAAATATGTATGCGCAAGTATCAACACGCATAAATACACACATGCATGTATGTGCATGCCTAGGCACAGGCCGGAACGTACAGGCATAGTCACACATACCGGCATTGTTGCATCAGTATCAGCAGCATTACCAATTACGCTAATGCACGCAGGCGCCTTCCACTAATGTCTCAAGGCTCCTAATAAGAATAAGGAAAGGCCAAGAGAGAAGAAGCCAAATAGAATAAACGGATTTTATTTTTCGATTTAAAGCTTTTGTGACTGCAGGTATTCATCTTCTTGGTTCTTTCGGTAAAGTCACGTAGAAGGGAAATAATAAAATAATAAAATAAAACATAATAAAATACAATTCTCACGACGTTTCGGCCACAAAGCAAGCAGCCGTCCCTCAGGTGAAGAACAGGGCTGTCGGAAAGACAGCGTCCGAATGAAAGACAGCGTTGTGGCCGAAACGTCGTGAAAATTGTATTTTATTATGTTTTATTTTATTATTTCCCTTCTACGTGATGACTTTACCGAAAGAACCAAGAAGAAGAATAAACTGACTTAAGATGTGGTTTTTAGACGAGACTTATTATCGGATGAACGAATTTCCAACGGTAGGGAATTCCACGCACGTCAAGTGGCCGCGCTCACTCCAGGAACGCAGCCGGGGTCGAGGCACGCACAGAGCTCTTCTTCACAGATATCAATGCACGATGGGAGGAACAATCCTCTAGTCACGTTTTGCAAAGACATCAAACTTAGCGATAAAAAGTTGCTCGTATCATCACCACCACCATCATCGCTATCATTATAACCACGCTTATTTGTTTCCAGCCTTTACGTTTAATTTGTGTTTCCCGTCACCGTTTTGCGAAATGTTTTTTTGTCACTTTCTCCCCAGTTTAAAATCCAGACCGCGCTATCGGCGACGTTACGAGACGGCGAATCCATTCGGGAAAATCTCGCAGAGCCGCGCGCCACTCCATGTCGCAAGAGAACGGCCCACGGAAGCGGACATCGAAGAGCTACCACTGAGGTATATTCTTCAAGTGGCCTCTGGTGCACACCCAGTAGGGGGATAGGGGTGGGGGTGGCGGGGGGGAGCAGCACTTTCCCATCCGCTCTGACCAACGAGAATCGCACGACAGTCAAACCGATATTTGAATTCTCGGAGATGACATTCAGCTGAAGGAAGTGCAGAACCGCATTGAATGCGACAGTGTTTATTTTTTTGTCATCGGTGGGTGAGCAACACGAGACAATCGTCAAATCGCTAGGCTTGAGAGCGCGGTTTAATTGCAGGCGGTGGGCTGAAACCTGGAATCTAACCCACTCGGCGTCTGCGACCTCTTGAGCCAGCCATTGAATTCCTCTCCGTTTGCAGAAAGCGTTCGGCCCGTATTCTTAGTCGGGGCTTGTCTCAGCCTCGGGCATGGCTCAGGGCGAGCTGCTGGCTCAAAGCCAATGCTCACCCTGAGCAACGCTGTGAGCATGGTCCGTGTCCACGTCCGTCCAGTGCTCGCCGAGCTGCATCGGCTTCCGTTTGCCGAAGGAATGCGTTATGAGGTCGCGCTCATTACCCACAAGGTGCTTGCCACAAATGATCTCGTTGAGTAACATAAGCCATCATCACGCAAACTCCGGTCATCCTCGCAGCGGATTTTGGCTGGCCGTCACAGACGGTGGTCACCGCATCGCACGCGTTCAGATGCGCTTCTGCAGCCGTCTGAAACGCTTTTCGTTCCGATTTCAGGAAGCCACTGGAGCAATGCACTTTCACATCATCAGCTAGATTGAAAACTCATTTCTTTAGAACTACTTCTTGTGTTTAGTTTGTTGTCCTTCCCCTGCACCTCAGATTAGCACGGTTGGCTACGTACGGTGCGAAAGACGTTCAACATACATATACATACATTCCCACAAGGCAGAGCCAAGAGGCGAGCCGCGATTACGAACGAGAGCGGTTCGGTTGCGAGCTCACCCCTCCGTGCGCGCGGCCGGTGGGGACTCACCGGTCCACGTGCTGGTGCACACAGTCAAAGCTGCCCTGAGCCCCGTCCCGCGAGCGGTAGATGGAGAAGGTGCGGAAGCCGCTGGGGCTTTCGGACAGCGGCACAGGGATCTTCATGTACTACGGGAAATGCAAAAAAACTCTTAACCGGGGAGTGGCACGGCCCGGTGACATCTGTGCCATCGAGTCGGTGCCAACCACACAGGGTGGTGCCTGCCGAGCGGTGGTGGAGTGTGGTTGGCATGGCTTGAAGTGGGGTCCCCAGTCCAAGTTAACCCCCCTTCCACCACCCCCTACACCCCCTCTTCTCCGTACCTCGGCGCCCGCGGTGCAATTGTACCGCCTGCACACTCGGGAGCTACGCCATTGACACCAACCCAGCGGTCAGGTAGCAATGAGCACACTGCCGAGTATATTTCTAACCACGGCTGGCACCAACACCATGGACCAGTTGGCCGTTAGTGATGCCAGAGAGCATCGTGGCTTTGGCTCGAACGGCCCTGGTCATAGGGCGAGTGCCGTGCAAATCAGCTGGCAGTGAAGGTCTACCCTCCTCCCCTGCTGGCCGCCCAGGCAGAAGTTTCCAGTGGGACTGGTTTGGCGACAAAATAGTTTTGCATCTCTAGTTGTTGTTGTAGTCATCGTCATCATCACCACCACCACCCCTCGGGCCACCACCCTCTAAACACAACCAACACCTCCACCCCACCCCCCCTAGGAGGTCTAACAGCTGTGAGCAGACCACCCCCCACACACCCAGGTCTCCTTTGTGATGTATGTTATGTATTTATCTAGGAGAGCCACACCGAGTCACAGGACTCTTGGTCCTGCTGCTGCTGCTGCTGCTGCCACATTGAGGCTTTTATTTTTTTAGTTGTCAAATAATGATGAATTGCGTTCATTATGCACGTGGCGAGTAAACTGGCGTACCCGGAGAAAACCAAGGCCTTGTGTGAGAGGGGGAACACTCTATCCCGTGCCACGAGTTCACATTATGAAGCCACTGGAGTCATGCACTTTTAAATCTAGATTGAAAACTAAGTTCTTTAGAACTGCTTCTTGTTGTGTTTAGTTTGTTGTCCTTCCCCCGCACCTCTGACTAGCGCGGTTGGCGACGTACAGTGCGAAATAAGTTCAACATACGCACATACTACTATACACGCCACTATAAACTACACTACTCTACACCACTCACTAGACACTCCACTACAATACACTACACTGAATCATCATTTCTTTAGAATAGTTTTTTGTGTTTAGTTTGTTGTACCTCCCCCACACCTGCGATTAGCACGGTTGGCTATGTACAGTGCGAGAGAAGTTCAACATACGTACGACCAAACCCCCCCCCACCGCCCCCCACAATGACCAGTGTGGTGAAGTATGGTCAAACAAACTCCAGGGCAGGCAAACAGATGGACAAGGCGCTCTGAATTATGGTGATTGTTATTTTTAGCGACGTTCTGGCGGCCACCAACGGCTGAGTGGGGCGCCCATGTGAGATGGAGGTGGTGATGGAGGTCCTTACCCCCTTGTCTCCTCCCAGACAGATCTTTGGCTGTGGGGATGAGGCTCCCTGTGGTGGGGAAAAGAGGAGAGGAGGGATTGGGAGGGAGCAGATACAGGGGGGAGGGGGTAGTGTTTGGACATTCATTATTCATTGATTAATTAACTTCACTTAAATTCCTTTCAATAATTGTGTTTAGTCTTTCGAGTCCCGATTATCAGCATCACAAGACGAAGAATCTATTCGGAATGCGCACAGCAGGGCGGATCCCCTTCTTGTTAAGAGAATGGCCGGCAGAAGTGGACATCACAGAGCTATTTCTGAGCGACCTCTGATCCAACAGAGCGGAGGGCAGCACTTTCCCATCCTGCCCTGCCAACCGAGAGCAACGTTCGTCACATGACGAACATCAAACTGATATTTTAAATTCTCGGGAGGTGGAATTAAGACAATTTAAGAAGCCTAATTTAACACGATTATACCGGCCTGAGACCGTAAAACTCGCTTGACTTGAGAAGGCCGAATTAATCACAGACGTCTCTGCCCACCCCCCACTGACCCACAGCTGCGTTCATCACCAAGATGATGTGCAAACAAAGACAAGCTCCCCCGTATAGCCTTAACAGACTGTTGGGGCAAGTGCTGCCTGCGAATACCTATGTAGGCCGGCACGACACACGAAGGGGGTGGGTGGCCAACAACCAAGCCTCGCCGCCTTTGTCTCCCTCACGGCAATGTTTAACACATCGCACCAGGTACTCATTTGAGGATGATTCGACCTAAGGGAGGCCCAGGACCAGTTCAGATAATCCTCACTGGTGGTGGCCGTGAGCGCGATGCGCAAACACGCACGCTTGCACACGCATGCTGTTCCCATGCCGTCAGTCAATTCAATCAGCCAATACACAAACACAGGGAGGAAAACCCCATGAATATGCACGGTGAGATTTTGTGCAAATGCTTTCCGACGTGCGTCTCGTCTTTGGAACGGATTTAATCGGCGCAGATCGAGTCGTGGAGGCGCACCACGAGATGGCGATCAACGTGGTGGCGTGACGTGGTCAGCCGGCCAAAAAGGCTTCTCCGTAATAGCGCCGCCGGGGGGGTTAGTGGCAACGCTTTGGCGAGCCAGTCCGTGAAATTGTCAAGATTTTATCGAATTACAACACCAAGGTTTGATGTAAAAACGTTCTTTTTTCCTTGCGTATTTGTTTTGTTTTGTTACGACAGTTATTGTAGTCCACTGCATTTGGATGGACGGTGCTTATGCAGAAAATGTAAAATAAACAAACTTCGTCTAAAGAAAAATGTAACCGCCGGGTGATTTAACACCCGAAACCAAAATAACCTCGGACGTGCTTGATTTAGTCTATTACTATTAAACTATATATTTTATCTTACCAGGTAAGGCCCACTGAGCTGTATAGCTCTTTTTCAGAAGCGACCTGGCGATGGCATGGCGATGGGGAGGCCGTCATTCAGCAGTGAATTGACTTTAAAGGGTTGTTGCATGCACACTCGGTCAAGCAGACAGATTGTTTAGTCTCGTCCACACTGTGCTCATACCGCTACCAACACACTGTGCAGGTCAAAACAACACACCCACCCACTCACTTACTCACCGACTTACCTACTCGCTCACTCACCCACCCACTCACTCACAAAGCCACTCACCACACTGCAAGCACAATAAGATGCTCACCCACCCACTCAATCACTCACTCACTCACCGAACCACTCACCCACCCATCACAGTGCAGGTCACAACACTTCTATTTTTCTGCTTCTACCCTCACAATGCTCCACTGTGGAATCTCCTCCTCCCATCATCGTCGTCTTTTCCCCCCAAAGCTCTCACAACATTAACCTTCCTCAACTCAAGAATACACGTGTTCAAAACTATTATCTCTTACAACTTTGATAATACTGTAAAAAGCCGTTTAGTGACGGTCATTCGATCTTTTTGAGCCTTTGCTCTGCAACTTTATTCAGAAAAAGGAAAAAAGTGGTCCAACATTTCAGGCAACAGCCCAACTTCAGAGCACAGAAGAAGAGGGGGTGGGGGGGCAGAGTGAAACTCGCCAAACTTGTGGCTGGCAATGCGCGCGCTAGCTTTACAGCGCGGGGAGGCAGATTTTCTCTACCTCCTATAAAAGCGCCGAGTCTGTGTTTCCCCGAGGCCGCGTGGCCAAGGTCCACGGGCCCACGTCACAGGGTGCAGATGGAGGCAGCTGCGCTGGGCGCAGCCCCCGAAACCGCTCGCGTCAGCTGATGCCGGATGGCGCCTCTACGCTCGAGCGAACCCAAAAAAGGGGGGTGCTTTGGACTTAACTTGGGGTTTGACAGTGGCTTGGAGATGCTAAATGCCTCGCTTGGTATTCAGGAGGTCGTGGGTTAGATCCCGACCCGGACGCCTGTACGTGGATTTTTATCCGGGTCCTCCGGTTTTTCCCTTCACATTTAGAATCAACATCACGCCTTTAGAGTATTTGGCTGCTATAAATGTCCAGATGATAAGCCACTTTGTTGAGGTATCATTTGTGGCCAGGTCACTCCTGAATAAAGCTATGCAGCTCAGTGGGCATTACCTGGTAAAAATAAAGTTAAAATAGTTCAGCTAACTCTGCCACATTGACCGGACGTGCTGTAAGAAGTTGGCAGTACCCACACTTTACCCCACCACGGGCAATCACAGCCAAACTGCGGTGAACCCATTCGTGTTGCTGGGTGGACAGAGGCGGAGGGCGTTGTGGGGGGAGGGAAAGGATTTGGGAAACTTGCCCCGTTGTGACAACTGCCGCGCCTGGAGGTCGTCTCGGACCTGCGACCTCTGGATTGCCAGTCCGGTGCGCTGCTAACGATTAACGTCGCAGCGGCAGCTTAGTCATAGATGTTAATTGATTAAATGACAAGTAATTAGGGCCTCTATACACAACGCAGTGGGCTAAATGGCTGACGAATACGAGCATTACTGTACAGGTGGCGTCTCAAGCTCAGATAAAATATATAATTATTGGCCAGTCAACCCATTACCGACAGCTCGTTAGCCGTACAATGAGTCATGCACTCCCCCCCTCCCCCCCCGTGACTCCATAAATTATGCCCATTGGAAGCCCAGGCGATGATTCAAATCAGTAGTCGATTCTCCTTTTGTCACTCATTATCCACACTGTTCAACCACCACGACTGCATGTCACAGCAGCACACCCGCCCGCATAACCACATACTCTCTCACTCGCTCGCCCACTCACCAGAACCCACTCACCCTCCCGCTCATACACCCACTGACTCACCAACTCAGTCACCAACCCACTGACTCACCAACTCAGTCACCAACCCACTGACTCACCAACTCAGTCACCAACCCACCGATTCACCAACTCAGTCACCAACCCACTGACTCACCAACTAAGTCACCAACCCACTGACTCACATATCATTCACCAACCCACTGACTCACCAACTCAGTCACCAACCCACTGACTCACCAACTCAGTCACCAACCCACTGACTCACCAACTCAGTCACCAACCCACTGACTCACCAACTCAGTCACCAACCCACTGACTCACCAACTCAGTCACCAACCCACTGATTCACCAACTCAGTCACCAACCCACCGATTCACCAACTCAGTCACCAACCCACTGACTCACCAACTAAGTCACCAACCCACTGACTCACATATCATTCACCAACCCACTGACTCACCAACTCAGTCACCAACCCACTGACTCACCAACTCAGTCACCAACCCACTGACTCACCAACTCAGTCACCAACCCACTGACTCACCAACTCAGTCACCAACCCACTGACTCACCAACTCAGTCACCAACCCACTGACTCACCAACTCAGTCACCAACCCACTGACTCACCAACTCAGTCACCAACCCACTGACTCACCAACTCAGTCACCAACCCACTGACTCACCAACTCAGTCACCAACCCACTGACTCACCAACTCAGTCACCAACCCACTGACTCACCAACTCAGTCACCAACCCACTGACTCACCAACTCAGTCACCAACCCACTGACTCACCAACTCAGTCACCAACCCATTGACTCACCAACTCAGTCACCAACCCACTGACTCACCAACTCCGTCACCAACCCACTGACTCACCAACTCAGTCACCAACCCACCGACTCACCAACTCAGTCACCAACCAACCGATTCACCGACTCAGTCACCAACCCACTGACTCACCAACTCAGTCACCAACCCACCGACCCACCAACTCAGTCACCAACCCACTGACTCACCAACTCAGTCACCAACCCACTGACTCACCAACTCAGTCACCAACCCACTGACTCACCAACTAAGTCACCAACCCACTGACTCACATATCATTCACCAACCCACTGACTAACCAACTCAGTCACCAACCCACCGACTCACCAACTCAGACACCAACCCACTGACTCACCAACTCAGTCACCAACCCACTGACTCACCAACTCATTCACCAACCCACTGACTCACCAACTCAGTCACCAACCCACTGACTCACCAACTCAGTCACCAACCCACTGACTCACCAACTCAGTCACCAACCCACTGATTCACCAACTCAGTCACCAACTCGCCCACCGACCCAGTCACGAGCCACAATACAGGGCACAACACTTCTCTCTTTCTGCTTCGTCCCTCGCCACTGCTCCACTGTGGAAATCCTCTCCCCCTCCCCCATCGTCTCTTACCCCCCCCCCACCAAAGACATTGTAATCACCGTGCAAATTCCCCAAATTATTACCATTACAACTTTGACAGTGCTGTTTGCTAGTGGCCGTTTGATGTTTTTGGGCCTTTGGGCCTGTGCTCAGCAACAGTCTAAAACAAATACAGTCGACCCTTGTGCATCATCGCCAAATTTCCCCATCGCAGCTTCGATATGTCGTGGGGTCGGCAGAAGAAATTAAATGGGAATATTTTGGGAATATTTTGGGAGTTTTGCGAAGGCCGCAGACGACACGTGAAAAGTTGAGTAACTCAGAAAGTACAGTACTGTATAATATTAATGTATTTTATATTTGATACCATAAATAGACCATTTTTTT